TACACATTGACAACAACTAAGGAAGGGAAACTTGCATTCTGTTCTTTCAGTCTGAAACTTCAGTTGTTCCTATAACACAGGAGGTCATTTTTATTTACAGGCTTAAAAAAAAAAGCATGACCTGTGCAAAAGGATATGGTGCTGAGAGCTCTCTGAAGCATAAAACTGGAATGTATAATTCAAGGTAAAAATCCTCAGCCACAGTAGTCATTAATGACATTACACAGTATATTATTTTGCTGGCAGGTAATTTTTAAAAGTCTTCAGTGTTAGCTCAATGAGAGATCACTACCATTAATTTGCTGAAGCTTAAAATAATTGAATATTTTGTGGGCTCTATTGTATATTCCAAAATTCAGCCTTTTCAAGCTTTTTTTCTCTTTTTAAACTATTCTTTCCCTTTAGCTAATAAGAAAACAGCAAATGAACCCCTGAGGTTGTTCATATTCAACCAATATTTCTTAAGTGTCATTGTGTTTCAGGCACTGAGGTGGAACACAAAGGCATTTCACAATAGGAAGAGGGGACAGAAGAAGGGGGTTAGGGGAATACAGAAGAGGCCGCAAATAATTTTTCAAAAATGGGTAAGATTTTGGTGTTAAAATAGACATAGAAACACACATGGGGGGATGTTGAAAGGGGCTGACATTTCAAGTTCAGCATATGCAGAGACAGAGAGAAGTTAATACATGTTTCAGAATAACAAAAAGAAGATGGTAGATAGATTTTATAACCTGGCTTCTGTATATTTCTTACACTAAGTCTTGCTAAGCTTTGCTGTGTTTATCTTTTGTTCCATTTCTTGTGTAATCTATTTAGATTGCATTTCACTGTTCTTCTCTACCTCTGTTTTACATACGTCTTCTACATTCATCTATAGACTCCTTGGAGACAAGGTCACATTTTATTCATCTTTCTATCCCAGCACCTAATACAATTATTGGCACAATGCTGGCATTCTATAAATACCTGTTGGATCCATTAATTCATGTATTCATTAACAAGCTATTGGATATTTTCTTCTTGTCATTGATCGGTGCTTGATTCACAATAGTGAACAAAAAATAAGGGTAATCTAACAAAGAAAACAACAGATGAATCTGGGAAAATAATTTGAGAACAACTAATGAAAAGTCAGACGTTCCTTAAAGAGGTTTAATTAATTCCATAAAGAATTAGGGGTGGAGGAGTGATACAGGGGATTGAAACCAGCTTCTTCACACTGAGCTACATACCCAGTTCTTTTGAGACAAGGTCTCACTAAGTAGCCCTGGCTGAGTTCAAACTTGCCATCTTTCTGCCACAGCTTCCCAGAGTGCTGAGATCACAGGTGTGCGTCACCATGCCCAGCTTTGTTCGGAAATCAAAGCTACAGACAGAATGAGATAGGAGAGTAGGGCTTGGCAAAAGCTGGCTGGGGAAAAGGGCTTGCCCTGTTGACTATAAGATCCCAGACCTGCATAGAATGGTTGAAAGCCGTGCTTGTGGACTTCTTGCAAGAACTCCAGCAGGGTTTTAATAGGATGGCCTAGACATGACTGATGTCCCAGTACCGCCTTTCAGGATCCAGATGTAGAAGTTTTCCTGGGTTTCCTCTAGATTTGGACAACATAAAAGGAGGTAAGCCATTAAGAGCTTGTTAGCATCACTTTCCATGATAACACACACTGTTTCCCACATGAAGCATTACTTTTATCTTTGCTCTTACCCTTTTTCTATTTATTCCATCCAAGCTTGCTCTGTAGAGCCAGTTTCTCTCCCACTCTTCACTTTTACTTTCTTGAATAAACTTTGTCATTGCTTTTTGCTTGTTTCCTTCAATTCTTTGTTTGAGACAAAAATCTAGAATGCACTCTGGAAGGAGAGGTAAGCAACTCCAAACCTGGTAGTGTTTAGTTGGCAAGCCACTTTTTAGAAATAAGCTACCTGATAACAAGAAGAGATACTGTATTTCTGATATAGAAAGATATATTAGGTAGACCTTTAAAGAGGGCCGAGAGTGGCAGAAAAATAATAGAAACTATGATGAACAGATAGGCTGCTTTCAAAAAGACCAGAGGATGTAGTTTTGAAAATAATATAATCACTGAAATTAAAATGAATGGGTCTAAACAGATCCCATAGGGGAGTGGATATAATCACTGCCTTTTCTATTACTTAAGCTATGTTTAGTTGTCTTTCTTTCCAAGTTTGTAAGATAGGTTATTCATGATGAACCACAGTTCAAACTCTTTGGTACTAGAAATAAAATACTCAAAATGTGTGCTACTTTTCAATTCAGTTTAAAAATATGAATTTTGCTTCAAACCCCAAAATTCTTGCAACAAAATGCATCATCCCTTTGTTATTTCTGCAAGTCCTTTAATCTTTTCATATGTTCTAAGTTTCAAGGACCACTCCCTGAAAGAGTTATTTTAGCACTCTAAAATTACAAAAGTACATCCAAAGAGAGAGGGGTGCCTCTGAGTACCCCCGGACAGCAGAAGACCAAATACTTCTCCTAGGTCTTGTTTTGTAGCCTTTATCTGTGTCCCTGCTGGTGATGCTATGTCCCAAATAGTGACTAAAATCCCAGGAACCCAATAGATTTCTCCATGGATAATTGCTGCCTGGCAATATTGACACTTTTAAAAGAATTTGCTCTACAGTGATGAGACAAGACCAGAGCTCTATTTCTACTACATCTGCTCTACAGTTTAGTTTCCAGCCCTCATCTCTCCAATTTAGCACTTGCTTTGTGCTCTGGTGTTCTTTATTAACCTGTTGTGATCTCAGGAAGAAGAGTCTTGAGTCAACCATTAGTGATTTCCTCAAGTCCTTCGGTACTATATTTTACAGAAATTCCTAATGTTTCTGGCAGGCACCAAGACCAAAAGTGATAAAGAGCTCTACTTTTACAAGCAATTTTAATAAATAATTGTAATGGGAGTACTTAGATGTGTATATTCTTTTAACACTCCAAAGTCCTTATCCAACAAGGTGTATCTGCATACATCCATTTGACTTCAGAATATCACTTAGATAATTATCTATTAAAATGGCTGCCAAAGCTGTCTAAACACTTATTATTTTTATCCCAAAGAACAGTTCATAAAATTTGAAAATTCCACATTAACATTTGTTGGGAAATTAAAATTTTTTATTCAGGTGAAGGAAAGGAGCAAAACTGAAAGTAAACGTTAAGACTCAATGAAGCCAAAACAAGAGAAAAGCTGTGGAGTGTAGGGCATACAAGAATCAAGGTAGGCAAAATATCTGCTCAATTAATGTTGATTTACTAAATGTGGCAGTTTTCACAGGATGAAGAAGGTGGCTTATCAGAGAAAATGAATTCTTAAGCAAAACCCCATAAAATGTATTTTACTTTTTTTTTTGAGAAAGTCTCGCTTTATAGTTCAGGCTGGCCTCCAATTCAGGGGGATCCTCCTACCTCAGCTGCCCAAGTGCTAGGATTACAGGTGTGCGCCCACCACAGTGTGCTTGTATTTTACCCTCTTTGAGAGACAATTTCAAAACACAGGCCAGTTCTTGGTATATTAAGACTGATTCAGATTACTGCAAAACAAGGGCAGGGCCAAGAAGGCAAACTTAAAAATATATATGCCCACTACTATGGTCGAAGTATGTGCCCTCAAAATTCAGAGTTTGAAATTCTAGCCCTCAAAGTAACGTCTTTTTAGGAGCTGACCGTGGGATAAGTTAACCTTTATGAAGGAGGTGGAAAGGGCCTCTGCCCTCTCCACCAATGAGGACACAGCTAGAAGGTGCCAGCTCCAAACCAGAAAGCTGCCCTTACCAGACAAATTCTACTAACACCTTGTTCTTGGATGCCTGACGTCACAACTGTGGGAAATATTCCTATTTTTCATAAGCTATTTAGTCTACAGTAATTTGTTATGGCAGCTCAAAAGGATCAAGACACCTAAAATTGTACAATGGCCTCATGATTTTCTGTATCTCACCTAAAGTCACACCCTTCCTAACTCATAAGGATCAATGTGCTTCAAAGGTGGGCAAAATTTTTTTTTTAAGGAAAGAAGAATACCCACTAATAACAGACTCAGTTCTTAGTAATATTGGATTCTGTACACTAAGCATATTATGTATTTAAGAACACTTGCTCTGGAGTTAGACTGGGAACAAGGTTTTCCTCCTTTTCCTGTGACTCAGTTTATTCACCTGTAACATAAGAACAATATCAGAGACAATATCAGAAAATCCTTAATGAGGATTTTCAAAAGTCCTTGGCTCACAGCTGTACACACAGAATTCAATAAATATCAGGTGGGGTGGTGAGCTTACTGAAAAAAATTCTGAAATGTTAGGTCTTCTATTGCTTCTATACGGTCTGTCTGGGTAAAATGAACAACTGGTTTGTCTAGCACTTACTCCCCGCTCTACACAAGCTTTCCTAGGGGCTGAGACCAGCTCTAGGCGTCCAAATATTGTCATCCCTTCTGCAGATGAGAAGGGTCGCTGGTCAGAAGCCAGCGAGAAGGCACCTTAGATCCCCAAAAGCCCAGCACTTTCCTAGCTCAACAAAGCACAGCCTGCACTTTCCAAGAATCTGAGCAGTCCGAGAAGATACGCGGGGTTCTGAAGCAGAACGAAACACTCAAACGGAGCCACTCGATCAGACGCAAGGAGATTTCAACTGTGAGCGCGGGAGAGCTCGGCTAGGCGCTCAAGAGGGTGGAGCCCGGCAGAACAGAAGAAGCCTGCGGCGGGGCGGGGCGGGGCCGGAGGGGTGCGGCGAAGTGTGAGGCCCCGAGGCAGAGGTGTGGGGCTGCCCAGAGAATGCCGGACACTGATGTCAAAGTGTACTACTTTTTCCTTTAGTCTCCACGCTCATGTCGTTGTTGTCTCAGATCTGATACTGTAGAAATTGTCTTTCTTATCTCCTTGTCACTTTGAGCCTTCGAGTGGAGAGAAAAGATGAAACCTACAATCAGGCAACTCCTAGACACCAACACAGGAAATAAATTGCGGAGATGGGGTCCTTGGCTCGCGCCGAAATTCAAAGGAATAAATAGTTCCGGCGCGGGTGTAGGGACTAGGGCTGGTGTGTTCGCCATGGTGAAGTTGGACTCTTAGTTCCCTAAGCTGGGTAAGGTTGGCTTCGTCTCCGCCTCTGTGACGGAGAGAAGCTTTTGGGGCGCCCCAGGCACCTGGCTACCTGCGCAGCGCTGAGGCGGCCGCGTATGGGCGGCGGCTTAGGCCCGGCCCGGTGCATCAGCGGGCGATGGGGAGGACGGGAGGCGGGCGAGTAGCTAGGAGGGGCCTCAGCGTTCATTAAGGATAAAAATTAGTACTTCCTCAGTGTTGGAGTGAGGCGAGGCGGTGTAGAGAGAAATGCACTGGAGGCTAATGAACAGTCTTAGCACAAGCAGTGGTTGGAGAGTATGAGATTCATCTCGTCTCCTTGATAGTAGGACAGTTATTCTGGGATACAACAAAAAACAGAACGTAGACATCCTACAGGAACTTATAATGGCTTGGATAGACAAATGCTGTTCAGTATCAACGTTAAGTTCCATGGATGGAAAAGAAAAGGTCAAGTGAGGGAATGGGTGGTCAGAAAGGACCGCTTGTATAAGGAGGTCAGGAAGAATCTGATCCAGTAAAGTGAGATTTGTGCAAAGATGTTAGTGCAGTAACGGAGTGAGGGGCCATGCCTGTATTACTCAGAAGAGCACTGTGGGCAAACAGGGAGATAAATACAGTGATCAGTAAGTAGTCTTGGCTACGGTAGCTAGACTATGATAAAAGTGGAAGACAAGCCTGCAGAAGTTGGTGCAAGAGATGACTTTCAAGTTGAATGGTTGAACTTCTACCTAGTGGTTAGCTTTTGTATGTTTTAAGTAGGAGGAAGATACTTTACATTGGGGAACGTAGTTTGGCAAGTGGCTATTTCTCTTGCCCTGTCATTCCTGTCTTAGTGTCAAACACTATGATTGTAGGTTTACATTTTATTTCGTACAGACCTAGTTTGTGGTTTGTTTAATTTCTAGCAGAGATTTACTGGCCCAACATAGTATTGAAAAATGCATATTAAGTCAATCATTCTTGAGGGATTCAAGTCTTACGCTCAGAGGACTGAAGTCAATGGTTTTGACCCCCTCTTCAATGCTATCACTGGTTTAAATGGTAGTGGAAAATCCAACATACTGGACTCCATCTGCTTTTTGCTGGGCATCTCCAACCTGTCTCAGGTAAAGTGTAAACTTTCTGCTTTGTGTGAATTTAAGTTTGGGAAGGGAATCCTGACCAAACGATGGAGAATATTGCTGATATTTTCTTCATTTACATTTTTGTATTTTTATGGGAATTATTTTATACCTCCATTCCTCCCTTTAAAGAACTATTTATTACCCCACTTGTTAGATGAAAAAATGGAAACTTAAGAGTTGTTTCCTAAGGTCTATCCTATTAAGATGTTTGGAAGTATAACCCCCAGACTTTAGGGATTGTGGTTTTAAGACAGTCTCATTTCACAGTGAGTACTCTTCTTTTTGTTCCCCATCCCTGGGTAACTGTGCCTTTTTAGGACATACTAATGGGTTGGATGGGCAAATTCATAGGCACTGTCTCTCCTTAAATCTTGCAACTTAACTTTTGTAAGAAATGAATAGGAAACAATTTGAAGTTAAAAGGGTTTGTAGAGAAAGGCACTCATTGCAGGTTTTCCTTTTGTCCTTGCTGTCTTTGCCAGTGGATGTGACTGTTCTTGTCTACTCAGTGATTACTACATGGATGGGTTTTCCACATCAGGAAGCCCAGTTTTGATGCTCCTTTGTACAGTGTGGGCTTTTATAGTTGATAAACTTACTTCATTTTAGGTTCGGGCTTCTAATCTACAAGATTTAGTTTACAAAAACGGGCAGGCTGGAATTACCAAAGCGTCTGTGTCAATCACCTTTGATAATTCTGACAAAAAGCAAAGCCCTTTGGGATTTGAAGTTCATGATGAAATCACAGTGACAAGGCAGGTGAGTGACTATTAAGTTGTATACCCTAAGAACTTTAATGGCTGATGTGTTATTTGGCAGTATGGCTTTGCACAAAATATCAGAGACAAAGTTTAGGAGCAAAATTGGTACATTACATACTGACTAGAGTCCTTAAAAATATCGTACATAATCATGCACCACAGAATGATGTTTCAGTCAGTGATAAAGAGCATATGTGACATTGGTCTCACATGTTGATATCATTTAATGATGTCATAGCTGTCTGGATTTGTGTAAGTAGACTTATGGTTGCACAGTGATGAATCGCTTGATCTCATGAACATGTCCCATGGTTAATTGATTTCTGGGTGTTTTAAAGTTTTGATGATGGAAATTCCAACATTTACTAAGAATTGAATGAAATCTATGAGGTGTTCCATCCAGTATAAGCACTCAACCGTGCTTGAATCTCGAAGCATATTTATGTAATCTTCTCTGGCTGTGCTTGAACATCTCAGTTATCTGAGACTATCATCTGAGAGAAACCATTCCATTTTGGGAAAAATATTAAGGTTAGGAGCCTTATGCATGATTATATAACTAGTTAGCAAAAGTGCCTAAGTTAGAAACTAGTTTGTCCTGACTCAAATTAGTAATCGTTTTGACCACAGCATACTTCTTCCACTGCCCAGGATTAGTTTGTTTGGTTAATTTGACTGTCCAAATAAATTCAAGGTAGCGTATTTTGTAATTTATCATTTTAGCATGAAATATGCATGTACATTTATATATTAAAAAATAATTCCTTTCTAGGTGGTTATTGGTGGCAGAAATAAATATTTAATCAATGGAGTAAATGCAAACAACACCAGAGTACAGGATCTCTTCTGTTCTGTTGGCCTGAATGTAAACAACCCTCATTTTCTCATCATGCAGGTATTTTGGTTGAAGTCTCTCTGTGTCCTTTATAATGGTTTTAATATCTTTTAAGTTACCACAACAGGATGACTTTCTAGATTTTCTATTTTTTATTTATATTTATTTGACTTTTATTTTCAATTTTAAAATTTTTATATATTGTTATGCTGTGTCTGGACAACTTTGAAGAAATACTGAGTGCCTTAGCTACTTTTCTCTTGGTGCTGAGACAAAATATCTGACACCCAAAGTTAAAAGTGGAAAGGTTTATTTAACTCACAGTTTATAGAGGCTTCAGTCCATAATCAGCTGGCTCCAAGGCAGGGTGGCATGGCAGAGGTGCACTGCAGAAGAGAAACAGTTCATGGTGGGCAGAATATAGCAAAGCAAGCAAGAGACCTTAGCAGCATCTTTCTGCCCCTTTTATATTTGTGCTACTGGGATTTGGGCAGATGCCAAACCAATCAGTGGACTGATTTAGTAATCACCCACCCTTAATCCTGGCATTACACCATGAATCAGTCACATACATACTCTAGATCCAGCCACCTGAAAAAGCCCCACGTATGACTGCCTGAGGCTTCACCTAAACACAAGCCATAATAAATATAAAAAAATTGTCAGAATAAATTCATTTAAAGTATTGAGTTAATACATTTTAAGATTCTAAGCATAAAAATTTGAATAATTTTCTTTTTTAGAGACTTAGGCAAATGAAAGGTAAAGACTGATATTATCTTGAATTTATTATTTCACTTGATTCATCTAGCCATTCTTTGAGAGAGTCACAGCAAGGTCAATGACAGGATGCTGCTAGGACGGTGTGTTTGTCCGTTCTGTGTTGGTATAACAGAAACCAAACTTGCTAATTTATAAACAGTAGAGATTGCTTGGCTCATGGTTCTGGAGGCTTAGAGGTCCAAGGTAAGCATCTGATGAGGGCTATGTCACCCTGTGGTGTGGTGGAAGGTGAAAGGGGCTGTAGAACAGAAGAAGTAAGCGGGTCCAAATTGTTTTTATAAGAGGCCCACTTAATCACTAACTCACCCCTAACATCATAAATCCCTTCATGAGAGCAGAGCCCTCATGACTTAATCATCTCTTATTAGGCTCTACCTCCCATCACTTGCATTGGGCATTAATAAGTTTCCAAGAAGTGAACTTTAGGGAACATATTCAAATTATAGCAGTAAAAATACATCCCAGTTTTGGAAGCTGGAGATTTCTTCAAATGAATCTATATCCTAACTAATTTAATTCTCTGAGATTTGAGTGTGCAGGTTTTTGTTTTGTTTGTTAAAGTAGTGAATAAATTGAAAGATTTTTTTGGCATTGAAATAAAATATTTTATTTGAGGTCTAGAAATTTGTCATCTGCTTGTAAGTTATCTCAAAGGTATATAAAAAATTTGAGAGATGTCCACTAATTATGCTAAAATATGTATACATACTTGTTTTAGAATTACATACTTCGGTATTTCTAATATTAACTGTCATAGAAACATAGTCTGAGTTAACTTTGTTTCATTTAGTAAGTTATTTATATCATTTAATAATTTAAGTAATTGATAATCTGACAACTGAGAAAATGAATAACTAAGTTCCAAAATTCTAAAACTGTAAAGTACCTTTGGTCATAAGTTTAACAGAAATAACATCTTTTCATGTATATAGGAAAAAAACCTTCCCGAAGATTAGTGTATTGATGTATAGCAGCTTAATAGATTACATTGAATGTCTTCAGATCACAGTTTCTATAATTTGCTATCATTATAGTAAGTTTGCCATTTTATTTTTAGGGTCGAATTACAAAAGTACTGAATATGAAACCTCCAGAGGTAAGAATACAGTATATGAGTAATAAATATATTAATTGTTGATTTTATTTAAATATGCAATTAAAAAATCATTTCTTGGATTAAAATTCTTGGAAACATTATTTTAATGTTTACTAAAGAAGGTAGGTTAATATTTAGCACTGTGCCTAGTATCAAAACAGATTTTGACTATATAAAGCAACCCTGCTTAACTGCCATTTATGTCTGCATTAATTCCTACAAAAAAATGTGACTGGCAAAAATTTGTGTAAAATTCGTTTATTTCATGGAATAGATTACGAATGGACTTAGTTTCTTTTGGAACTACCTTGAAAAGAGTTGGAATGAAAGAATTAATATTTTTATATGAATAGGGCTCTTTATGTATTTTTCTGTTGAGAGCAGCTAATAGGACTGATGATTGATAAAACTAGTTGTTTGAATATAGGTCATGCTTATTTTCCTTAAATAATATCTGAAGGGGAATCTGCTAATTTGAAACCTAACAAATATATAGACATCATAGTGTATCCTCAGAAAGAAATAATCTTTTTGATCTAGGGATTAATGGTGAATAGAAGCATCTGAAAAAAGAGTGGTAGCAAAATTGACCATTTTATGCAATTACAATTAATATTTTCATTTTTAAGAGGGCTTTTCACATTTACTGTTTTCTTTCATTTCTAATGGTGCCAAGAGACATCAGTACTCTGAATGGAGAAACTGAGGTGCAAAGGAAATTAAGTTCCTTGCCCAAGTTCTTAACATATGTGCCATAGTTGGGAAACTAATGTATGGGATGCTTCAGCCTTGTTGCCCCAAATGCAAGTCTGACTTGAGTGGATTTTATTTGTTTCTCTTTTATGGATTGTCAAGGAGGGTATTATTTTGGTAAGATGCTTAGTGAAGTCAGTCTGTAAATGATATAACTAATGTAAATTCCAGTGAAGCATGTTTTGTTAGAAATATGGCATTAATGCCCTTGTCATTCTAGATCTTATCTATGATAGAAGAAGCAGCTGGAACAAGGATGTATGAATATAAAAAAATAGCTGCGCAGAAAACTATAGAGAAAAAGGAGGCCAAGCTGAAAGAAATTAAGACGGTAATTAAACTCGTATCAAATACTTTTGAAGAAGAATGCAGTTTTGCTTTTGGAGTTTCTGCTGTAAGGAGAGAAAAAATTTTTTTTTCATTTAGTTTTCCATATTCTTCTATACTACTTATCTTTCTTGTTTTGTTTTTTTTCTTCTAGTGGTGATTGAACCCCAGGGTCTTATATATCTGAGGCACATGCTCTGCCACTGAGCTATATCCCAACCATTTTCATTTATTTATGTATTTTTATTTTGAGACAAAATCTTGCTAAATCAACCAGGCTGGTCTTGAACTCATGATTCTCCTGCCTTAGCCTTCCAAGTAGCTGGTGTTACACCTGGCTTTTTAAAAATTTTTAAAATGGTTTAAAAGTTTTTAACATAATGAAAATATTGATTTTTCCTTTATTTCCAGATACTTGAAGAAGAGATTACTCCAACCATTCAGAAATTAAAAGAGGTATGCGTACTTATGTGAGGACAGCCAGTTAGAATGTCTCTCAAAATTGGTGATATATCCAAAATCATGCATATAGAGATGATATGTATACCATTTCTTGGGGATTTTTCTCTGGGATGAAACAGGGAATTAAAGTTGGTACTCCATATCTCAGCTTTAGGTGTGTAGAAATGTATTTTCTGCCTATTAGGTCATGATTTTGGAGAATGATCTTTATAATCTCGGGAAATGATATGTTAGATTTTAATTTTTAATCCTTTATTGAAGAGAACCAAATCTGGCTTTCCTGGATAATTAGAATGGAGTGGAACAACATTTCTTAAAGCTATTGCACTCTTAGTAACCTTCATTGTAGAGTAGATTACTTCTACAGTAATGGTAACTATCACTGTCATTGCCCTCAAGGCATTTTATATGAAAGGAATTGAAATAAAATTAGGTTTTCTCTGTAATATTTGTAGTCTTATATCATAGAACCTGTCAATGTTTCAGTGAAAAAATGTATTTGTAGAGAACTTTTTATGGATACCCTTATAAGAATTTGTTAAATGCCCATTAAATTTGGCACTGTTTAAGGGTGTCTTCTGAATCAGTAGTTTAGATAATACTGGAAAAACTGAACAGTTGTGATCTTGAAGGTACCCCCTTTATTTGTATGATTAACTAGAAACATTAGCTCAGACATGTAAACTTTGGTTTCAGACCTGATTCTGCCTCATTCTTTCTAAATCAGGTACAGACATTCCTCGTTTAACAACCAATTAAGATCCTGTAGCTAGGTTGTTAAATGGATTAGTCATTCGAGAAATTGTATATAGTATGTACAGTACAATATGTGAACAAAGAAATGGTCAAAGAAACTCCTACTTGATGACTTTGCTGTTATTGCATGTAATGCAATAATATTGCTGTTATTACTGTAATGTATAACAACAAAACTATAGTACTGTATAGTGCAGTCAGCAAAAATTAGAGTACTGTGCAAACAAGGTATACTGTACTAAAATAACACATTGAGGCTTTATAAACAAGATGTATAGAGCTGTACAAAAAATGGATCATAGGTCTGAACAGTCATTAAACTTGTAGGTTGTTAAGGAATATCTGTAATATGGATAGGTCATTTAACTACTGAATTTATTTCTTCACCTGAAAATTAGGTATTTTACTTGATAGTTTAGTCTGGTTCAGGAGATCCTTATGTGAATCAAGTTTATCATGTGTGAGTGAATGCTTTTGGTATACTTGAAAGAATGCTAGATGGGCATCATGGTAGTACTACTACGGTACTATTACCAGTTTATGGGCCTTGTGTTAATCCCAACTTCCTATTATATATTAGAAAAATTAGTCACATAGGATTAATTAGAGCTGGAATACCATCTAAAAAGCCAGATTTCTGATGTTATTTAAAATTTCCCAAAATTAAAAATGCCGTGATCATTTAAGTCAAAATCTATTAGCTGTAATGGGAAATCTGATATGTGTTGCTATAGTTTGATTCTTTCCACGTTTGTTTAAAACTATGAATTGTGATTTATTCTTTCTTACGATTTATATTGCAGGAAAGATCTTCCTATTTGGAGTACCAAAAAGTAATAAGAGAAATAGAACATTTGAGTCGTTTATATATTGCTTACCAATTTTTGCTGGCTGAAGATACTAAAGAGCGCTCAGCTGAGGAGTTAAAAGAAATGCAGGATAAAATTATAAAGCTTCAAGAAAAATTGTCTGAGAATGATAAAAAAATAAAGGCTCTTAATCATGAAATAGAAGAATTGGAAAAACGAAAAGATAAGGTCAGAACATATTAAGTAAGAACAGATAATATACTCAATAATTGGGCTTTGTTTTCTGTATTGTTAATTTAGGATACTAAAATAGCTTTAAAAATATTTCACATAGAAATCATGGAAGGACATTATGACATGAACATATTTTCAGTAATTTAATTGAGTTATACACATTTGATTACAGGAAATTGGAGGCATACTTCGATCTTTAGAAGATGCTCTTGCAGAGGCTCAGCGAGTTAATACTAAGTCTCAAAGTGCATTTGACCTTAAAAAGAAAAACCTGGCAAGTGAAGAAAACAAACGCCAAGAGCTGGAAAAAAATTTGGTAGAGGTAAGTAAATAAGCTTAATTTCCATTAATGTACATTTGTCCGTTCTGTTAATATTTAGTGAGTACCTACTGTGGACTAAGTTCGGTTGTTTGGACTGGTTATTTAGCAGTGGAAAAAATAGTCACAAGTCCTTGCCATGTGGGTCCAGTCAGGGAAATGATGATAAAATAAGTAAACTATATGGTATATTGGACAGTGATAACTGATGGGGAAAAAAAAATCATGGAAGACGATTGAGTTTAGAAGAAGAGGGTATAGTTTAGGATTTAGATTATTTAGCTGTTTAAGTATAGAGTTACTGTTGGCTAAGGTAAAGACTAGAACAAAATTAGAGTAGGAAAAGTAAGTGCAGTATCAACATGATCAGCTTGAGATACCTATTAGGTATTTTGAGTGGTGATTCTGATTAGGAAGCTAAATATATGAATATTAAATCCAGTCTTTAAAAATACAGATTTGGAGTTAATCAGTATATATGAGTTTAAATTTATGAAGCTGGATAAAATTATAAATTGTGAGTACATAGAGTTTTAAAGTTTGAGTCCTGTGATAATTTGACATATAGAAGTTAGAGGACATGGAGAAGAATGAGCAAGGAGATGAAGAGTGGATGAGGGAAATCACATGAGTAAGTTGTCTTAGAGACCATGAGAATAAATATTTTGAAAAGTGGCTGTGAGATCCTGACCAGAGTTTGTTCATATTCTTGGAAAATCACAGCAAAAAAAATATGAGTGAGTGAATATAACTTAAGAAATGTTACAAAAAATTAAAGGGTGTGGGAGCTAACTGAAGGATAGTCTTTTTTGGACTTGGTTTTACATAGAATAAATTACATTATATAGTATTGATGGAAAAAATCTAGTAGTAAAGGCAGCATTTGTGATTCAGAAGAGAGAGATGAAAAAATTGTTGAAATAAGGTCCCTCAGTCAGAGTAGGATTGGAACTGGTGTGCATTTTCAGGAAGTAACCTTTGCAGAAGGTAGAAGTAACATCCATAGTGACAAAAGAGTCAAGTATATAATCTCATATGCAGGTAGATGAATGGGTGTGAAATGGAGCTTACAGAAGTTCTCTTAAGGGTAATTCTGTTATCCCAGTGAAATATACATTTGCCTTTTTATTAGAAAAAAGTTAACTTCCCAGAAAAAAATATTTCTTTGTATTGATAAGAATTTAGACAATTTTAAACCACTGTGAATATGTTTGTTTGTACTCAGTTTATCATTTCTTTTTTAATCAGGTTTTAAAGCTTTAAATGTGCGCACCTGCCTTGGTTTTGGCTTATTTTCTTTAATCTTGCCAGGCCCTTAAGCTTCATGCAGGGCCACTGATTGCTCTTTTTTGGTCTCCTTTTCTGTATCCTATTATTCTTCTTGATCTCTGAATGTTAGCATGCCTCAGGCTAGCACACAGACTTTTTCTCTTTACACATGCTTCTTAGGCGTCTCATCTAGCCTTGTGGCTCTAAATGCTGTCAGTCTTACATGTTGATGCCTTCCAATCCTAAACTAGGTTTAATTTTTCCTGAACTAGGTGAAGCAGATTCATTGTGCACTGATTATTGACTGGTCTTGAGTCCAGTTAAACAGAACACACAGATAAAACATTATGTAGATTTATTATTTCCAGATAGCTTCAGCAGAAGCCTAGAATTTATTGTGAGCTGGTTCCACAAGGCTAAGAAAACCTTCCTTGAAGCAGATGGAATCTCATCTGCATCCCAACAACAGCTGAGGGACCTCAGAAAGCACCCTGCTCTGGGATTTATACCCTAAGGCAGTGATGGCAAACCCATCATTGAAAGATCTAAAAGGTCCACTATCACGGCCCTAAGGTGATATGAGGTAGGTGCCAGGCTGAAGAATTGAAAGATATCCTGTTTCTGGGAAGGACTCGAACCAGAGTCCTGGCTGATGCAGCCTCCTTAACTCAGAATATTGTATGACCAGCACATTCTATGGCTATTCTTGAGAACTACCAGCTGGAAAGGAACCAATTAGGTCAGTCCATGACCACCCAGAAAACAATCCTGCAATCTATCCCCTGACCCAGACACCCCCTTTAACAAAGCTAACCTATTTCCAATGCCTCTGGATCTCTCCAAATCCAGAACAGAAGGACGTTTGTCTTTTTATTTTGTTGTAACACCTTGACCCACACTATGCAACATTGCAGAGCAAAAGCCAGAATAGGGACTATTATCACAAGCATGGTGATCAGGCCTGCCTGGAGAATGATTTAGCTCAGATCCAGTGATCCAAGTATAGAGTTATTAAAGTGTTCAAAGAAGAATCCTGCAAGTAATCTCACTATCTGCAGCTTATGGGCCTGCTTCTGGACCTCTTCTATCATTGTCTCTCCAACAGGGGGTATTGGCAGTCACATACACTCTTTCCAGTTGGGCTCACAGAGTTTAGAGCAGTTCTTCTGTCTAAAACGATCTTTTTTAGGGAGTATGGTGATGTCTGGATGGCTAAAGGAGTGGCAGTGGCATTTGTGAAAGCAATATCTGCTGTCAAGGACAGGTTTCTCTTGAGTACTGACTGCAGTGTATGACTCTTAAGATCTCATAGTGAGTCATTTACATTTCCTGGTAGGTCCTAGGACCTCCGTAAGCCTGGTGTACAGTTACAAGCTGCTGACCCAGTGGTATGTCTCATTGCTAATGATATATAGCAGCACCTCCAGTAGTCCTGGTATACATGATCCTGCCATCTGCCAGCTTTTCAGACATGGCATTGCCGTTTTGTATTTGAGTTAACCCTATACTGTCCATAGAGAAAATTGTAGCACTTGGATGCACATAGCACCTTTTCCCTCATTTTATTGTTCAATGACACATTTATGGATGTGGAACCATTGGTATTTGCCAGTTAAATCTCATTAATGTCATAGGTGCATAAGCTCACTTTCCCACAAACAGATTTTTTCATGAAGCTCCTACACAGAGGACTCATACCAGTCCAGTCTGTTTTCATCATCACTCCTGGGACACTTCTCATCTCTATAATCAAAGGAATATTATGAGAGTACTCTTAAGAGTCTTAAGATTTCATTAATTTTGATTGTGACATTTTGCCTTAGTCAAGTAACACAAGGTACATGTGTTGCCCCAGCATTAAGATGTTCAGTCTCCACCAGTGCTGAGCATTAAGATATTCAGTCTCCACCAGTGTAAGCAAGGGGTTACTTGTTCAAAAGGGATCCATCTGGGAGCCACCTTAAGCAACTTCTGTGTCCAAAATTAAAGAGGCTGGTACATCTCAGTGATATTCAGTCTGATAGATCATTGTTAGACTCCATCAAGAAGGCCTTTTTTTTTTTTGGTGCTTTCAAGGCAGGCAGTGGAACCACTGAGCTAAATCCCCAGCCCCTGAAGGCCTTTTTGATGGGTCAGACAGTTGTTACATTATAACAGTATTTTGTGACATGTTTTTATGTAGCAAGTTTTTAGATTAACAAAGTTATATGTTATTTGCCACTTAATTTGGAGTAGAGTGCTTTTGTTGAATAGCCAGTTGGGCCTTGGATAGCTTGGGGGACAGGCAGAAGCAAATATGCCTCACTGTTAAAGGCTAAGTTCTTAGCTCTGAGAGGACATACTCTTTCAGGAGGTAGTGATGTTCTGCATTACAAGCATCCAAAATATCAATGCAAGTAATGTACTCCACAGTGGGAATCCTGTCATTGGCACCCAAATGGCCCCACCCCCCACCCCCCCAACAAAGAACCACAGGTTACTGCTTTCATCCCTAAACTCCCGAGGTCATCAATTTAGTTTGTCCCCTAAGGCAGTGGTGGTGAGCCTGTAGCATTCCTGCAGCAACAGGCTGTTTGTACCATTGAAAGCTCTAAAAGGTTACCATCAATGTCCTAAGGAGACCTGGAAGTACTGTCATATAGGGTCTAGTATCCAAGAATTCTTGAACAATCTGAATTCCCTTTGATTCCCCACTCTCATCTTGACAGCAGTTTAAGGCCATTGTCCTCCTTTGGATATTTAGATACTATATTCCCATTCCTGACTGTGCCACTGAGCTATTTGAATCTGTAATGTTCATTTACCAAACAAATATGATAGCTGTGTGTATAGGGTTTCCTGGCCTTTCTCCGCATCTGTCCTTTAGATTAATGAGTCTCCATTTCTATGAAGGCCTGTTTGGTGTGGGTTGGTTCCCTCTCAGATGCTTCAGGGTCACTCTGACTACCCATTTCCTGTCTCTGGGACTTGGAATGAGCAATTACTTGCATTGGAACCACTGAGCTAAATCCCTGGCCCTTCTACATTTCTTTCTCTTTGTCTCAAACCATGCATACAGCATGCATTCACATCTGTGATAGAGTGACCTGTGTCCCACTTAACTGTGCTTCCTTCACCATAAAGCATCTACCTCGATGTCCCACTCCTGAACCCTTTAGGCTTATGTCTCTGATTTTAGCTGGGGATTGGGGGGTAGGCCACTCTACCTTCATCAGTATGCCAGACTAGACCCTGTTCACCATGCCACTTTTGTGAAGCAGGTTTACTATGCACTACTCTCCAGCCTGTCTGTCACATAAGACATTTCATACCCAACAAATTGTATGAAATATTTATTATTCACAATTAGGTATTAATTGACAAAGACTCAGGAAAGCTACCAAGAGGAATAGAGTCTTTTCTTTGTATGCCCCCACTTGATCTGCTGCTGAAGGACTCTAGAAAGCAGCCTGCTCTGTGATTTATACCCCCAGGGCAATGTATGTTGCTGGGTTAAAGCAGTAGATCCTGTTTCTAGGGAAGGACTAGAACAGAGAGCATGCACTATTTAGGCGTTTCCCTTATCTCAGGATATTTCTTGTCTAGCACATTCTATAGTTATTTTTGGGAACTGCATCTGAGAAATGGGGAGAGCTGGGGCAGTCCAAAGCCATCCAGAGAATAGTCCTGCAAATGCCAAATGCATTTGTCCAGATACTTAATTAACATTTTTACCCAGATGTCTAAGAAAAAGTGTTAACTATGGTGAAATCATAAATTTCCCCCTACCTACCCAAATCTACCTGAATTACTGAATTTTCTACATGTCAGTAAATGGTACCACTATTACCAGAGATTTCCCCTTTTTTCTTAGATGCCATATCACAAATGCCTATCAGCACATTCTGTTGACTTTAAAAGTATATCCAGAATACAACCACTTTTTAATACTGCCATTACCACCAACCTCTTTCGAGCCATCATCCTGTCCCAGGAGTGCTCCTGCAATACTGTCCTTGTTAGTTACCGTACTTTTACTCTTGCTGCATTATAGTTTGTTTTTTTGTGAAACTAAAATATAAATTGTATCATATCAATTCATGCTAAATACTTCAGTAGTTTCAATATCATGCATATAATTGAATCTAAAGTCTTCTTCATGACCTTCAAAGCATTTCATGTTGTGATCCCTGGCTCCCTCCTACATTTTCTCACTTGCTTCAGTCACATTTTCTCAAATACCCAAATAAGTTTCCCAGGACTTAACAAGTACAGGGCTGTAACTGTTTGCATGTTAACTTGTTACTGTAGGCTTCTGCTCAAATGTCATCTCACAAAGGTTTTCCCTTTTTATAAAGTAGTTCCTATCACTTTCTGTTCCTTGACCTTGGTTGATTTGTTTATCATATCTTTACCCTAGAATATAGGTTTTATGAGGACAGTCATAATCTTTGTCATAGTCTTTATCATAGTCTTTGTCTCGTGGTTTTTTGGGGTTTTTTTGGTACTGGGGATTGAACTCAGGACCTTGCGCTTGCGAGGCAAGCAGCAGAACCACTGAGCTAAATCCCTGGCCCCAATAGTCTTTGTCTTTAATGGGTTAGAACCGATTATACTGGGTTTGTACCCAGGATATAGTAAGTACCTGCCTAAGAAGTATTTGATGATATATGTGCTAATCAAGTGTCCCAGAATTTCTGATCACATTCATGTAAATGAGGTAGCTAGATTTTTTTTCCCAGTGATGATGTCTTATATAGTATCAGGTATCTGGTCACTATTTAAAAAAATACTAAGGGGCCATGGATTTAGCTCAGTGGTGCCTCCATCTGTCTCGCAAGTGCAAGGTCCCAAGTTCGATCCCTGGTACCAAAAAAAAAAAAAAAAAACTATTAAGCATTAGTGATACATATTCCACAGTTGTTTAATACTGAAATCTTATATCCTTTAATATTTTATAAAATATTTTCATATGCTTGCTTTTAATGCTAAAGCTTAGTGTAGGATGGCTGTTACTTCAATTTTATAGATTTAGGAACTAATTTTTAGCTTTAAGTGGTTTAAAATCTGCATTGAATTTTGTTAGCCCAATATCCCCTGGATTTTACTGTCACATACAGAATGACAATATTTCATGTAATGTAAAAGTTATATTCCAGAAATGTAGAATGAATTTCAAAATGGGTATTAGTATTTAAAGTTGATGGTTATTTTCTTTATTCCCTCTTCAAATTGCTAGAAAATACAATGACATAAGGGTATATGTGTGTAAAAAATGGATGTTTTTCCTAAAGTACAATATTTACCAATTTGAAATTCTTCCCAAAGGATTCTAAAACTTTAGCAGCAAAGGAGAAAGAAGTTCAGAGTATAACAGATGGGCTGCATGGCCTTCAAGAAGCAAGTGATAAAGACGCTGAAGCTTTGGCTGCTGCACAGCAGCACTTCAATGCTGTTTCCGCTGGTTTGTCCAGTAACGAAGATGGAGCAGAAGCAACTATCGCTGGTCAAATGATAGCCTGTAAAAATGACATAAGTAAAGCTCAGACAGAGGCCAAACAGGTAAATACAGATACTAAGCACTATGTGATTGCTTTTTTCTTTTTACAGAATATTGAAAATAATCAGTTCATTGTCAAGGAACTTTCTTACTTAATTTTGCTGCTCTGTAGTACCTCATACATTAAAATTCAAATATGTTGATTGTTAAATATCGGTAACATTAGATTGTCAAGGTGCTGTACAACAAATTATCATAGCTCAGTTCATAACTAGAGGAAATAGTTTATTAAGTTTGTAACATTGTTTGGAATGTTGGAAGTTAGTTTATTCTCATCTTTCCTGGTTGTTTTTATTGACATAAAGCTGAAGTTTTGAGCTTTAACAGGAAAACAAAACTGTCTTCATCATTGTTTTGCCTACCATTTCTAGTTCTTAAAATCTTTACATTTCCAAGGGAAGTATCTCTGCCACACATTTATTCACATTCGTCTTTGGTCTCATCACTAAGATTTTAAGTTATTACAATCTATTAAATGATTTTTAAATTTATTAATAGTGCAACTTAAAGTCCTGTGAATACAAGAGTTTTGCTGGCAGAAAAATATGTATATATAGTGTATACATTCTTTTATTTTCTTAATTATTATTTTTATTAGTCTTGAAGATTGAATCTAGATCCTTCACATTAAGCTATATCCCCAGTCCATTTTTTATGTTGAGGAGATCTTGCTAACTTGCCCATTCTCGGTTTGAATTTGGGATCTTCCTGCTCGGCCTCCCATAGTACTAGGATTGCAGGCCTGTACCATAATACCCAGCTCTTTTTTTTTTTTTTAAAATACTCAGCTTGAAAATATATGCATGGAAGCATTTGTATTTACTATTCATACTCAAATTTTTCTATTAATAACATATTTGTAACTTTTCCTTCAGAAATGAGTCACAAAAATTTATAAAAACTCAATTGAAGAAAGACTTTAAATTGCTCAGTTTTTTTTTTCTCATTCAGGATATTCCTATCTAGACCTTAAAATACTAGCATGAATTTAAAACATACTCTCTCAGTTTTATGAACTTCAGATTTCTGAAATTCGGAAGTTCTAGTATTTAAATGTCAGACTCCTGGCATTTAAATTTCTCTGTCAATTTAGGAAATTTCTTCTTTATTTCTAATGGCTGTTAATATCACTTAATGCACCTTCTCCACTGTTATTAGACAATACTCAGAGTGAACACTTATGGAAAGGAACTGAGTTGCGATTTCTAGCTTTCTGTTGTGTTTTTAATTTAACTAGCAACTGAGTTATTCTTTGATATAAGTTTTCAACTTGGTTAATATGTCGTATTTACACATATTAAAAATATAGACATTGCAAATTACTTAATGATTTACATTAATCATATATTCTTACTCTGAGTAGTTTTGAGGAGAAAATATTATGAAATGATTGCTCTTTTGAAAAACTAATCCTCCAAGAGACCACATTTTTCAAGGCTGAGATCTCTTAAACCTTTCTGAATCCATGGCCATTTAATTACTGTTACTATCTGCCTCATGTAATGTTACATTTTTCTATCACAGGCCCAAATGAAATTGAAACATGCCCAGCAGGAATTAAAGAATAAACAAGTAGAAGTTAAGAAGATGGATGGTGGCTATAGGAAGGATCAAGAAGCTTTAGAAGCTGTAAAAAGACTAAAAGAAAAACTTGAAACAGAAATGAAGAAATTAAATTATGAAGGTTTGCTTTTATCATATGATAATATGGGAGGTAGTAATTACTGATAGACCAACCTAAGGAAATAAGAATGCATGAAAATGAAACATTATTTACTCTGTTAATAGGTATGAATGTAAAAATTATTTGTAAATATAGTCAGAAAAATAAATATAAAACAGCCCTTTGAATTTTTGAGAACTCTATTGAAAATTTCCTTCTTCAAACACTTTAAGGCTCAGAAATGTCATTGTATATATCTACATGAGTAAGTAATTTATATGCTGTTCCCTGGAATAATTTTGTCATTGAAAATAATATCTCCTTGACACTTGAATATTAAGCATGCTTTTTTATTTAGTACTTACCAGAATTTTTTTTTTTTTTTTTCTTTTGAGACAGGGTCTCATTTTGTAGTTCAGGGTGACCTCGAACTTCCAGCTATCCTCCTGCCTCAGCCTCCTGAGTGCTGAGATTATAGGCGTGCACCACTGTGCTGGGCAGAAATTTATATTTTCTATCTAGGAATGCTTTGGAAATAGAAGCTACTTAAATTTTCCTTTACACAGTAAAGTTTTTAGACTTAAGTTTCTATTTACTTATGATTCATTCCTCAGAAAAGAAAGAAGAAAACCTTTTGGAAAAGCGCAGACAACTATCTCATGATATCAGTAGATTAAAAGAAACATATGAAGCTCTCTTGGCCAGATTTCCCAATCTTCAGTTTGCATACAAGTAAGATATTTAAACTTGTATTTTAATTTAGTAGTAATCGATACAGATTTTTACTTAAGGAAATTATTGGAATTTGCTTTTCTTTTATTGATGTATTTCCCTGATTATTTAAATGTTTCAGATGTGGTAGGGATTTTTGTGAAATTTAATGGCTCCTGATATCACTAATCTTACAATCAAATCATTAGGGTAATTTAATTTCAACTCAATGTTTTTGAAGTTACTGTATCTTTACTGTTAAATAAGTACATTTATATCTTAGTTTTTTTGTTGCTATGTGGGTTTTTTTATGGAATACAATAATTCTGTCTCTTAAGTTGTTTTTGTTACATTATAAACTTACTGAAAAGATTTTTAATTGATTTGAAAAGAATAACTGACTAGTCAATCTGGGACATTTTTAAATTTTTATTTTGGCAAAACTGCGTTTCTGCTTTCATTCCAGTCCAAAGTTCTTGACTAAGAAAATATAACTTTTTCGGTTTCCTTATCTATGATTGAGTTTTGTCAGTGTTTCTGATTTAGAGATCCAGAGAAGAACTGGAATAGAAATTGTGTAAAAGGACTTGTGGCTTCTCTGATTAGTGTGAAAAATACTTCTGCGACAACAGCCTTGGAATTGGTTGCTGGGGAACGACTCTACAATGTTATCGTAGACACAGAGGTAAATTGATTTTAATGAAAGAAAATTTAAAATTGGTGCTTTTCTTGGAAAATTATGGTGCTAAAAGAATTGGATACTTTTAATATGTATGGTAAAACTGTTCAGTTAATGACTTTTTGATAACTATTCTAAAAGAAGTATAGTGCTAAAAGAAGTATCATGCTTGCTTAGAAACTCGAAATGCACATTACCAATCTTAGATTTTCTTTTTTCTGCAAGTTTGTATTTATTTGTTTGTAAAATTGAGAATTTATTTTTAATATCAGTCTTCCCATCAAGAAACATTAAATTTATCTGTATTTCTTAAATTCGCATTTTCTGTCCTTCAGCAGAATGTTCTTATTCACATAAATGTTACATATTCATTATCAAATTTACTTCCTTAGGGTTTTTAAAATTTCTTTTGTATATTTAAGGTATACAATATATTTTGATATATGTATATAGTGAAATAATTGGTATAGTCAAACATACTAACATATCCATCACCTTTCATTGTTGCTTTTTTTTCCTTTGGTGATAAATTCCTAAAATCTACTCTCTGGTAAATTTTCAGTATACAATACAATCTGCATGCTATACATTTTATCTCTAGGATTATCCTGTGTAATTGCAAATGTGTACCCATTCGCCTACAACCTATTTCTATCCATTCCTCTCCCTTGCTGTTCCTGATAATGCTGTTCACTCCCTCTTTCTATTTCACTCTTTTTTTTTTTTAATTTTGTATGTATGTGAGATCATGCACTATTTTCGTCTGTCTGACATGTCACATGGCATACATCTATTCCAGGTTCATCCAGGTTGTGAAAAATGGCAGTGTATCCTTTTTTACAAATGAACAATAATTTACTGTATGTATTCTTAAGCTTTTGATTGTTCCAAATAGAAAGTACTAAACATTTACTTGATTATGGATTCCTGAACTTGCACTCTTTCTGTTTTAATGTTTACTCTTATCATTAATTTTTTTAAAATTTCAAATGCATTTCTTAGGTTACTGGTAAAAAGCTACTAGAAAAAGGAGAATTGAAACGCCGTTACACTATAATTCCACTCAATAAAATTTCAGCCAGATGTATTGCTCCAGAAACTTTGAGAGTTGCTCAAAATCTTGTAAGTCTTACTTAGTTATGCAGAGCCACAAATTTTCTAACTTTGATTCTTTAAAAAATTAAAATAGAAAAAACTAAGATTTGCTCTTTTGCAGTTGGATAGCAAGAGAATAGAGGTATTGGATGACTAGATCTCCCTTTGATTCTTCAGACTTTAGTATTACAATATCTTTAACTTTAGATTCAGTCACATAACTATCATTTGGTAGTGAAAATTATATTTCTGAACAGTTAGACTTGAACTTATAAGCACTTAAAATTCTTCAGCATTTTCTTATAGCAGGCACACTTAAGCTGCCTGCAGTGACAACCATTGTTTAAGGTATTAATCAATATTCCAGAGTTGCTTTTTTATTAGAGTTCTCTCGGATTGCTATTCAGCTTTTGGACATACAGTACATTGCAGGTGACTAAATCCCAGTTTGATGTTGAGGGGGATTTATAGTGGTATATTTATTAGTAAGAAAGTAGATGTGTACAAAGAAATACATTTAGAAAACTCCCATGTGCATATAATATTGGGTTAAATCATGAAGTTAATCATAACTAATTTTAGCACCAAAATTAGTTTATTGACCAGGCATTCCAGGTGTGTGAGTTGAAAAGATAGTTCTATAAAACCCAGAAATAACATTTGTAAGTAAGATACTAAATCAATATCTAGTGTCCTTATTGAAATTGAGAAGCTTTCAGTAAAATTATTTCAAAATACTATTGTATTGATATGTATACTATGAAGAGAGGGAGAGTAATTAATTCAAAGATAGTGTGTTGGATTGGTATTTCCCTTATGTGAAAAATCATCTTTGTTTCAAAAAGGCTGAGGAAGTTTATTCAACTCTGATCAAGTTCCCTTGTTAGGAGAGTTTGAGTAACAGCAAAAATACTTCCTCCTAGATTCTATCGCCAGATCTGTTTAATTGTTATATAGTACTGTCCTTATTGTCAATTCTTCTGCTATTAAACTTCATAGGGAAAGTTTAATTTTTCTACAAAGATGGATGAAGTAGGCATAAAGGAAGATTGTAGAGAGGAAATTGGATCATACTAGAAGACAAGGCAGGGGGGCTTTTTCTGTTATTTTTACTCCCTTAATGGTTGTGTTTTGATATTTGTAATTGGCAGATAGCTATTATAGTATATTTAATTTGTGTAAAAAGTATTCAATGTGGAAAAACCAAATTACTAATGATTGAAACAAAACAATTAATACAGTTTGATTGACCTGGAAATTACTATACCTTAAGAAATGTGTGCTTACATAGTCTGTTTCAGATTTAGGAAGTTGGTGCTGGCTCATCCATTATGGAAGTTATTATAATCTATGATACTGTAGTTAAATATTTTAATTACCAATAGATTCTTCTGTGTTTAAAGCTACAATGTTTTCCCTAAAACTTTGGCTTTTATGCATCTCTAGTGAATTTTTAAAAATTAATAAAAGGTAAATACTACTTAAACCTCTGTTACAGCCGTTGTTACTGTTTTAAAAAAAAAATTTGAAAGGAAGTAGTATGTACTGTGATATATGTTATTTTTCCTTCAGGTTGGTCCTAACAATGTTCATGTGGCTCTTTCCCTGGTTGACTATAAACCAGAACTTCAGAAAGCAATGGAATTTGTCTTTGGAACAACATTTGTTTGTGACAATATGGACAATGCTAAAAAGGTGGCCTTTGATAAAAGGATAATGACTAGAACTGTAACTTTAGGAGGTGATGTATTTGATCCTCATGGAACATTGAGTGGAGGTAAGTTTTATGTCCTTTTGTCTTTACTACACTATGGTAAACAGGGTGGGCTTCTTTCTTTATTAAACAGAGAATATGTAAAATATTTAGGAATTGGGTGACCCCTAAACAATTAAATTCAGACTGTGATTCCTAGTCTTTGATTAGAACTAAAACTAAAGCCAGCACAGGCTTTATATTTAAGATCAAACATTTATGTCCAAAGCCTTAATATTAATCTAAGGGTTGAGTGAATTTTTGAATACCTACAATCTGACAGGTATGTAATAATACTGAGAAATTACAGTGTCAAAGTCTTCAAGGGGACTGCTAATTAATCCTATAGTGTTATTAATCTCAGATCTATTCCTTTTATATTTTTGCTTTGTTTTTCCTATTAGGCTATTCCAGTCACTGATATTTGATACTAGGATATTTTTGCTTGCTTATTCTTACTTTTTGTCCACTTGTAGTCAGGGAAATGTCTTTTTTTTAAGGTACATTTTTTTTTAGCCCAACTACCCACTTATTCAGAAAACCTGTTAACTCACGTCAGTGCTGCCACTGTTCCTGTTAAAAGTAAAAATCCTGGAGAATGGAACCTTACTGCCTTAGGAGAGGAATTCCTAACCATATTCCTAAGCATATTTTTTTCTTGTTCCAATATTTGCCACATTGATTTTCCAAGTCTGTGAAAAGAGACAATATAGTAAAAAATAGTCAATAATATTCTTTACTAGGCAGTAATGTAAGACTATGCTGTCCAGTACACTTGTCACTAGCCATTTGTGTCTCTTTTCAAATAATAAATTAAAATAATTTTTCAGTTGTAGTATAGTAGTTGTATTTCAAGGGCTCAAACTAAAATGGTTAGCAGGTAATTGGACAATACAGATACCAAAACATTTCTGTCATTCTATAAATCCCTATTTTATGGGCTTTAAATAATTTCAACGCATTTAATCCATAATAACAACTATAAAGTAGGCACATTACTATCATCTCCAATATACAATTACAGAAATTGAAAATTTAGAGAGGTTAAATAACTTGCTAGTAAGTGGCAAAACTTGGAATTGGAAACCAGGCAGTTTGATTTCAGAGTCTATGCATTTAACCCAGTAGGCTGTATAAAGTCTCTTGATGCATCAAGTGACTTAATGTTTTTCTAGACCGATTAAATGAATTCCATCCTCAAGTATCAGAATCCTCAATACACAAAAAATTACTAGTATCTGCAAATGGAAAGTGGAAAGAAACTAAGTACTTTTAAATATCTAAAAGAGAAGAAACTTTAGATTTCATTGATTTAAATATACTTAATTCCTCCTTAAGAGTTTGCAAATGTGTAATTCTGTATCTTATTAACAAAGTGCTCATAATAGCATTAGTACTTGACCTTGGCCTTCTTTCATCAACCTACAATGTTTTCTTACCGGTGTAATAGAGCCAGATGATCATGATTGTTTGTATAGTAATGTCAATCAATCATGTATGTTTTTAAGTTCAGGTTCATGAATTCTTTAGCTTCATAAGATCACCATAGGATTTTTTTATTGAATTATTTCCAGTACACTTCTCTAAGAAAAAATTTTATTGCTTAATAAATGTGTGGTAATTTAATGTCCAGCACCTGTTTCATATCTTTGTCAGGTGCTCGATCTCAGGCAGCTTCTATTTTAACCAAGTTTCAAGAACTCAAAGATGTTCAGGATGAGCTGAGGATCAAGGAGAAAGAGCTACAGGTTTTAGAAGAGGAATTAGCACGTCTTAAAAATACTGCTGAAAAGTAAGACTTTGGATTAAGCTCTATATCGCAAAGATTTACATGGTAGAAAATGATAGAAAGTTATTCAAAGAAATACAGCTTCTGACTTTTTTATATCTTTGTTTTTATTTAAAATATTTGAATAAATTGTAAGTTGATAATTTAGCTGTTATTCTTTTTTTTTTTTCTGATAAAAGGACTGCCTTTGTTGTGAGAAATGAGCAAAATCTAATTCACCAAAAGGGGAAAAAAGTCAAATATTCTGTTCTTGCTACTGATAACACATTTAGTATCTTGCTGGGGTTGATAGGAGAACCCTTAGAAAATCAGGAGACTGATAGCAGAGAATACTTGAGTTCTTGATTTGAGTTTACTTGATAAACTGTAACATCAATCAGTTGTAAGGAATTTACCATTTTTTTAAACTAATATATTCCACATTTTTTAAATGGAGTTAAAATTATTGTCTTCCTGTCAACCAGTTTCAGGGAAGAATACTCAAAATAGCATTTATGTTTTATGAGTTGTATCCTTTTCCCCTCAAATCTCATGAATTTCTAGTGACATCCTTGTATATTAACTTGGAATTTCACTGCAACTGAAATAGCTAAATACCTTCCACAGAAATGACTAAAGCAGCCACATACATCTAGGATAGAATTACAGAGTTTGCAGCAAAGTGCATTGTAAATGATGAAAGCCCCGTGTCTTAAGCAGTCTGTCTTACTACAAGAAGCAAGGAACATTATTAATAACATTTGAAAATGGAGAATAATAAATATATAACCAGACTTTTGGAATTTTATCTATAGTGACAATCTTATTTTTGTGGAGAGTAGTGACTGAGGTTTTTCTTTTAGGTAAGAATCAGCAGGAGGAGTTATTTTTTAGAAAACTTATCTATAAAAGATTAATTTTAGTGTTTTCTAAGAGCTGGGCATGGTGGTACACACCTGTAATCCCAGCATTTGGGAGGTTCGGGCAGGAGGATCACTGCAAGTTCAAGGCCAGCCTGGGCTACATAGTGAGTTCAGGGCCAGCCTAAACTACAAAGGGATACTCTGCCTCAACCCCCCCTAAAAAGATTAATTTTAGTGTTTTCTAAAATTAAGGTGTTTTTGTAAATAATTGTTATGGGTTTCTATCCATGTTTACCTTCAACAACCAAATCAGACTTGCTAAAATGAGAGTTGAATTTAGTTGATGCCTCAGAAACTTGAGAATTACCAATTTTCTTTTTTTGTTTTTCGGTTTTTTTGGTACTAGAGATTGATCCCAAAGCCGTTACATTGAACTATATCCCCAACCTTTTTTTAATTTTTCATTTTGAGACCAGATCTTGTAAGCTGCCCAGGCTGGTCTATAATTTACAATCCTCCTGCGTTGGTCTCCCAGATTGCTGGAATTACAGGTGTGTGCCAGCCACCATGCCCAGCTCATCAAGTTTTCTTGATGATGGGCAGCATATTGCTTATACTGTATGTTAGCTTATTTCAGGCAAGAGCCTGAAGCCTAATGTATGTCTCAAACCTGAGGAAATGCACAGGTTTTCATCAGAATTTAATTGTATATGGTACGTATTATAAACTTTTTCTAAGGTATCGCCAACTAAAACAGCAGTGGGAAATGAAAACTGAGGAAGCAGATTTATTACAAACAAAGCTCCAGCAAAGCTCATATCATAAACAACAAGAAGAATTGGATGCCCTTAAAAAAACTATTGGTAAGATTAAAACATTCTGTGCTTAAACCTCTTTTTCTTGCTATCCTTTTCTTATGTTTAGAAGACTCGTATTTTATGATACATGTGGGAGTGTTTCTGTGGGGTAAATCAAAGTGGGACTTCTGATCTTAGAATATGTTTATCTTTATTATATGTTGCCAATGTTTTGTCCATTTTTAACATTCATTTCCACCCATAGCATGTAAAAGCTCTATTTCTTCAAATCCTTTCCTTTCTAGACTCTTAAAGTTTTATAGTTTAATAGTTCTAAAAAGATAGCACATTAGCATTTTCATTGGCATTTAGTTTGAATTTCCCTGATCACTGATGAAATTTAGAATCTATTTTTGTATGTTTATTGGATCTTTGGGTTTCTGCTTCCCTGAATTTCGTGTTTATTTCTTGTGCCTATTTTTTCTAATTGATTGCTTATGTTTTTTCCCCATTTTTCTCACACTAAATAGTTATAATTTCTTTTAGATTATGTGCACTGCAGCTATGTTTTTTGTTTGATGTACTTAAAACTGTTTATAGAATTTTTGTTAAACAAATGTTTTTAATGTTGAATGTAAATCAATTTTATAGCTATCCCTAATTTTAAGAAGCGTTCTTGTACTTTTTCATCAGAATTTAATTTTATGATTGTTTATATGTTTCTTATAACTTAAGAATATCCACACACCGATTTGCACACTAATATTTTTATCCTGCAGTACAAAGTAGTGTAGAAAATTGTTCACTTGTGGCTTTAATGGTTATATTTTTACCTAAATCCTAACATGGCAGTATATGTCAATTTTGATATTATTTGTCCATTCTGCCTTGCTCTTTTAGTTTTAAATATTTTTCTTATGCTTCATCCTAGGCATATTTTCCACAATATTTCTTTACTTTAATGAGAGATTACTTCAGTGTGGATAAATGAACCAAGAACTACTGCAAGCTTTCTAATAACTAAAATTATAGAAAAATGGCATGGCTATATTATTAGCTTTGTTTTTAGAATACAGAGACATATTGAAAAAATGAGCAGTGAGGCTAAAAGATGTAAGTTCAGTGATAGTGTGGTCCAGTTCCCAGCACTAGGGAAAAAATACAAACATACTTGAGCTGTGATCTTTTCAGTCTTACTCAAAACCTTTTTAAAAGTAGGTAAGTTAAAGGTAAAGTTTGTTACTCAGGTTCATACCATTAGAAATAGTTTCAGATATTTTGATAATTCAAACATGGCTCTTGGGATTTCTGTTTCAATATACCATTTGTGGAATATGTTAGAGTAGTTCATTTTGTTTAAATTCAAATTTTCCAGGCCATTTCTTCTAGTAAATAAATTAAATTTTTCAGTCTCTATATGTTAATTTAGCTACATTTAACTACTTTATAATGCAGCGGAAAGTGAAGAAACCTTAAAAAACACCAAAGAAATCCAAAAAAAAGCAGAAGAAAAATATGAAATATTAGAGAATAAAATGAAAAATGCAGAAGCTGAGAGAGAAAAAGAACTAAAGGATGCTCAGAAAAAACTGGATTGTGCCAAAACAAAAGCAGATGCATCTAGCAAGAAAATGAAGGAAAAGCAACAGGTAATAACCTTTCTTGAAATGGAACAAATCTTTTAAAGTGATCATAATGTGTACCTAAAATGTACCAATAAACTCAATAAATAAATAAAAGAATAAAGTCAACATAGAATGAAATATGGTAGAGTATCATAGGTTGGCCTTATTCATCAGTATTAATTCCAAAATGTAAGTGAGTTGTATTTTTAAGAAATAAGCTACGCATTTACAAGCTAAATATTTTATTCTCTGAAAACCCTGTAATTGAATGTAACATGTGAGTATGGATTGCACTTTATATAGTAATTTTAGGGAAAGAGCAAAGTTGCCTTTTGTTAAATGTTTCCATCCAGGTGGATTATATGATGTAATGGTATTATTATCATATAAAAGATTTAGCAAGTTGTCATTTCTCTTTGTAACCACCTATGTGAATATACAGTGCTGAAGCAGTGGAGGAAAAGAATGTTACATTTATAAGGTATTGTTCACTTTAGATAGATAGTATCTCATTTTTTTTGAATAGTGCCAAAGCTATGTTTTTGTCTCCAGAGACAAAACTTTTATACAGTTTCATCCAAATCTTTCTTCAGTTTTTTTTTAAACTCACATTAAAATTCTATCATTAATTACTTGCAGAAAATATTTTCTAATGAATTAAAAGGCTATATTAGGAAATAAAATTAAAAAATTTTTTTGCACATTGAATAATTTTACTGAAAACTGCACTACTTCATCTCATGTAGAATTTTATATTCTTTTCCCTATAGGAGTAAAAGAATAAAGGAAATTATGTAGTAATTTATACCCTTAAAATTCTCTCTGTCCCTCCCTCAAGGAACCAGGAATCAAACTCAGGACCTTGTGCTTGTCAGGCAGGCGCTGGCACCACTGAGCTAAACCTCTGGCCCTTTTTTTTTTTAGTATAGGGAAGTAAACTTCCATTTCCTCCTCCTGGGGAAGCAGCTTAACATGTATTTTTGGTAATTGAGTTGTAACTAAGCAGTAAATTTTATGTAAACTTTTTTTTTCCAAGTGCTGTATATATTTTTCAGTACTTAAGGACCTGTGTAAATACGTACATCTTTTGTTTCTGTAGGAAGTTGAAGCTATCACCCTGGAGCTTGAAGAGCTCAAGAGAGAGCATGCATCCTATAAACAGCAGCTTGAAGCTGTAAATGAAGCTATCAAATCCTATGCAGGTCAGATTGAAGTAATGGCAGCAGAGGTAGCAAAAAATAAGGTAAGATTTATTTATCAAATTGGAGAAATAAATTGTCATCTATGAAATATTGAATTAAGATATTTGACTTTAGTGCTCTTGATGTTTTCAGTCTTGTCCTCTGAGCATGAAGGCAAAAATGATGATTACTGATGCAGAAAGAATCCTGAAATAACATCAGTGATTGCATTGGAGGCTACTGAGAATACAAAAATCACACAGTAATTTGAACACACAGAGTTTAAATAATTTTTTGTTGCAGGGGATACCAGGATTGAATCCAGGGCCTTTGTACTGAGCTATGTTTCTACTCCTTCTTTTTAAAATTTATTAATTTGAAACAGGTTCTTGTTAAGTCATTAAGTGGCCTGGGCTGGGTTTGAACTTGCAGTCCTCCTTGATTGCTGGCATTACAGGCATGCACCACCATGCCTGGCTATAAAAATATAATAGGGCCGGGGATTTAGCTCAGTGATGCTTCTGGCTACCTCACAAGTGTAAGATCCCAAGTATGATCCCTGGTACAAAAATAATTATTATTGTAATAGAAGTTTGGAATGTTTGGGATTGTTCACTAAGAGATTAAGAGGTTGCTAAAAATACAGGAACAGCAAAAGACTCTTAGGGCTGAGGAATAGATCTGTTTGCAGAAGGCATAACAGTAGCCTGCTGGTCCTGAAGTTTGCAGAGGTGCCAGGAGAAACTGTCTGCAATAAAATGCTGAATGTGTGTGGGACCTGTGAAAAATAGATTTCTAGGAATGCTGACCATCAGGTGTGGTACCCTGTGCTCAGATGCCAAGTGAAGCCATGCAAGCTATTAACAAGCCTGCCTTTGAGAAAAGCAGAATGGAATTAGCAAATCAAGCCCCTTCCTCCTGCAGTGTCCCTACAGTAATATTTACTGATTAGACTTAATATTGTTGGCATTTGCAAGGGAGAAGTGTCCCATTCTCAGAAGCAGGGCAACAAAGTGTAGTTTTGGGGCTGAGAGGATTTCTGATATTACAAAGACAGTTACCTGCAATTTAATGTTCAGAAACTGCCCCTCTTGTATATTATATATATTCTTATTTCTTCCTTTGCTTTTGATCTTGAATTTTATGTTATTTAATGCTATTTCTACTCCTATTTAGTTAGCCTTTATACTATTTTATGTTTAAGTCTTCTGTCATTTAGCTGTGCATACTGCTTATAAGTTGTTTGTATCAAATTCTATGTTAGCTAAATGCATATAGCACTTAACAGAATTTAATCCATTTAAAAATATTGTCATAAAGAGCATTTTTGCCTTTTGTTATCTGCTTCTATATTTTCTGTTACATTTTTCCCTTAAGATTATTTTAGTTATGGTAGTATGCTGTGCTTTGAAATACACATCTTTTCCTCTTGATTTTATTAGTTTTCTTTTTCACTTTTGTTTTGTAAACACATGTATTGCATCAGTAATGGAAAAACAACCTTTTTATCTACCACTTTTCTATTAGAAATCACCAGCTTTATATTTTATGTTGTTGAGTAAACATTCTGGAGTTTCTGTTAATTTTCTTTTTTAGTTTTTTTTTTTGGTAGTAGTTGGGATTGAACCTTGGCATCAATGTATGTTAGGCAGATGCTCTACCACTAAACTACATCCTCAGCCCTCAAATAAACTTTAAAGTTTTTTTCTGATTTGTTTTCATAAGTCACATATTTTTTGTCTCCTGGTATGCTATAACTTCTGCTATCCTTCATCATCAGAATTGTGTCCTATAATCTTTAACAATTAGAAAATATGTTTCCAAAGAGAAATGTAAAAATACAGCAATGTACTCTTTTCATAAACTCAAAACATGTACATATTTTTATAAAGAATATATGTTTCTATTAACCAGAAACAATAAAATGGATCACTTAGAAGTTTTAAAAGATTGTTCAGTTAGGATCCACATTATAAATTATTTCCTTTTGCAGATAGATCAGCGAGTTACATCTGCTGTGCAGTCTTTAACATGTAGATGTCAGAGAATCTTTGTCTGTTATTTTTCTTTTTAATGTCACCAGAGTTTTATTCCTTTTTTTGTTCTTCAAAAAATGGAAAATATATATTAGTTTTTAAGATGAATACCATAATTTATCTTCCTGAAAAAGACTTCTAATGATACAATTTAGACATTAAAAGATTTAAATTACTCTGGGTACACTCAACAACTTGAATGTAATGTGGAGTATTGTTTGTTCAAAATCATCTTGCTCGCAGATGAACATGCCTAAAAAATATACCTAAGTTTTTACTGTTGCTTGTGATTACTGTGATCTAGTCTTCCTTAGTTTTTTGTCAGGTTGGTCTTTTGTGTTTGCTTTTTTTTTTGTTTTTCTCCAACCTAGAAATGAGTTGAACTATGGTATTTGTTTCATTTTGTTTAGACAGTTGTGTGAGTTTATGATCATATGCTCTATTTTTTTTTTTTTTTTTTTTTTTGGCATCGAAGATCGAACTCGGGACCTTGCGCTTTCGAGGCAGGCACCAGAACCACTGAGCTAAATCCCTGGCCCTTAAAGTTGGAGGTTTTTTTATTATTTTTTTTTTGGTACTGGGGATCAAACTCAGGTCCTTACACTTTCGAGGCAGGCAGCGGAACCACTAAGTTAAATCCCCAGCCCTATATGCTCTATCAAAAGGACAGTTAATTTCTAGAATGAAACCAAGGGACTTGGGGGATGGTCACAGAAGACTAAATCCCAACTGTAAGTAACGTTTTGGAGGATAAGTAGACTCGACCTTAAGAAGCAGGAGGGCCGTGAAAGAGAAAGCAGAATGTTTTTCATTTGTCCCACAGGTCTGTTCCAAAAAACGGTCTGTTCTTTTCCAATTTGTTTTGACCAATGCGTTAGAAACAAATGTTGTGACCTATTGTTGCTACTGATATGATCCACATGCCTTACATCTGTCTACAGTAGGAAAAAAAAGTAAAACCCAAACTTCCTTTTTTTTTTAACCTCTGATCTTTGTCCTTCCTGAGTCATTGTCATCTGGGAATCTGTCAGATTATCTTCCTGTTAACTACCCCAAATATTTTTCTGAGCCATCTCACAGATCAGCTTCCAATAGTCCCTCCTCCCACCCAATTGATTCCATCTACACTACATTGAATAATAATTTTGTTTCTAGCATGAATGTTGCATCCCAGGCAATTTTCCCCCTAGTGACAAACCAAGTTTTCTTTTGTGTGTAAATGCATTTGTCATTTTAATGTGTAGCAAATTAGATGACCCTCTGCCTATGATTACATTGACATCTTGCCTAGAAGTCTGTCAGACTTTGTAAAGTAAAAGTATTTACATACCTTTACTATATATTCTTTTTTTGTTTTGTTTTAGGAATCAGTCAGTAAAGCTCAAGAAGAGGTGACCAAGCAAAAAGAAGTGATAGTAGCCCATGACAGTGTAATTAAAACTAAATATGCAGAAGTAGCAAAACATAAGGAGCAAAACAATGATTCTCAACTTAAAATTAAGGAGTTAGACCACAACATCAGCAAACATAAACGGGAAGCTGAAGATGCTGCTTCAAAGGCATGTTTGTATTCATTTTTACCCTTAATCAAATTTTTTGTTTTGAGGCTGTTGGAAAATTCTAGAAAACTGCTCAATGAAGAAACTCAGTATAAATGACAGAACTACACCCTAACGTAATTTTGAAGTTACAGCTATGCTAAGTGCTTCTCAATAATCCTCATTTTCAAGATATGGTACAAAAATGTTTTATTTTCAAATTTAATTTCAGATAGCCCCATCTCTATGATGTCTATACCTAATAGTTAATGAACTCCCATGGAATTAACTGTTTTATCTCCAATTGATAGAACTAATTATTCCTGTATTAGTAATACTAATACACATTCTTTACCTTATTTCTAATTGTACTTAACTCACATTAAATATATATACAGCCAACATTTAAAAAGGATGTAGTTGGCTTTTGGATTAAGAAAACCCTCAGGAAACTGAGGATCAGTACTATTAATTTTTGCAACTTTATTGAAAATATCATGTTTTGCCAAACAGTTATCATTTTGAACTTATCGAGTAGGTTGTTGTTGTTGCTTTTAAAATTTCTTCTTTTCCTATATTAGTGTCTTTATGTAAGCACTTTAAATCCTACAATACTTCTGCAAAAATGTATTGCTTGCTTAAAAGGCTGCATCAGTGTGTTGTTCTTAATAATTCTTCCACCATATTTTCTTATGAGCATGTTAATAGTTTGGTGCCTTTTTAATGCCTAGGATCTTTTTTAGCATCTTGAAAATAGAAATACTTAACTTCTAAAGATCATCAAGAACATACCAAAGAGTCTCCCCATCCTCTAAAAGAACTACAGATGTCTGGTCAGGTTCATTACTTAGTTTAAAAAAACATTGTTTATGGCTACATCATAAACTCCCACATTTATTATCAATTTCTCAATATGCTAGGAACTAGTGCTAGTGGAGTCTGAGATATTAACAATACCAATAATATTGCTAATAGTTTTTTGGTTATTGAATATCCTAGTATTAATGATTACTAGGGATTTTATTTGCTCTTAAGGGGATAAAAGGAGAGACTTACAAATGAAGCTGCTAAAAGTCTATTCTTTAAAAAATGTTTTTGCCTACCTACTAGTATAGATACTATACCTAGTATCTTATACTTTGTCAAGTATCTGCTATTATACTAGGCAATGAAGATGTAAGGATGAGAAAAATGTGCACAGAGTACTTTCATAGAGCTAAAAGGTCAGCAAGAAGATAGACTATAAATGATAATTTCACTTAGAGGCCTAGCTGACCAAACCCATGGTATGAAGACTGGTTGACAAAGCCTGGATTCTGCCAGTCAGAATGAATCTTACTTCTTATAGAAGAAAGCCTTTTTTAAGCACTATGATTTGACATTTTTAATCAGTTGTATTATTTGAGGAAATATAATGCTGTGCCTTGTGAAAAGATGATGAGAATGGAGATAGAGTTAATGTTCAGGGCAGTCTTTTTCTTCAGTTGTACTCCTGAGGAAATTATTAATCAGGAGTAGGCTTCCATTTTACCAAATCTCTGACTTCGGTATTGTTACAAATTTTAGCCTCTCACAAGTCTTTGAAAACGTAGATTGAATTTGATGAAACAATAGACCAAATTTGGTAAAAGCCGAAAGAGCCTGACTTACATTTCATTTTAATGGAAATGTTTTGCATATACAGGTTAAGCATTCCTAATCTGAAATTTCTAAATCCTAAATGCTTCAAAGCTTTGGAGTGCTGATATGACACCACAATTGGAAAATTCCATACCTGATTTCATTTAACAGATCATAGTCAGATTGAAGACATACTAAAGATAATGGATGAAATTACTTAAGTTTATGTACATAAGGTATGAGATATGTTTAAAAAATGTTATTTAAATAAAATTATTACAGTAAAAGACACGTCATTAATCCCTTTCAAAATACTTCCCCTTCACTTCAAACACACTTATCCCATTGATCTTGACAGTTTCTAAAGCAGTTCTGAAAGTCTTCTTTCATGTCTTTAGTGTGCTGTTTATCATGGCTGCCTGAACATTCTGAATCAATTCAAAATGTTTACTTTTTATGCTTTTGTGATTTTTGGGGAAGGACCAAAATTGCATGGTCCCAGATCTGGTGAATAAGGACACACTGTAATGTTTTTACAAGCTTGTCTTTTTGTTAATTGGCACTTGGCAGCAGTGATAGGTATATTTTTTATCATACCTCATAAAGACATTCACAAACAAGGACTCCAGAAGTACTTCAGAAGGTGGCAGAGTACAACCGGTTGTGTTCAAAAAGGGGATTATTTTTAGCACTCCTTATATCTATGTAACATAGTTGAATTTTATGTTTTGACTTTTTGAAATTTGAAACACTGTCAAACACTTCTGGTCTTAAGCATTTGGATAGGGGTATTTAACCTGTACTTAATGCGTTGGCTTCTCTTTGACTACTTAGCTAATAGGAAGTATCGTTTTCCTATTCATTTCCTTCTTTCTTGAGCCTTATCCTCCAAGCAAAAGTAGTCATTCTTGTTTCTGATATTTTTCACCCAAATATGTGACTTAAAATTTAATTAATAAAAATAAAATTAATTAAACTTGTTAGAGATGTTAATTTTTTTTAACAGGTCTTTTTGTTTTCACATATGACTAGGTATCCAAAATGTTGAAAGACTATGATTGGATTAATGCAGAGAGACATCTCTTTGGCCAACCTAATAGTGCCTATGATTTCAAAACTAACAATCCCAAGGAAGCTGGTCAGCGACTTCAGAAGTTGCAAGAAATGAAGGAGAAATTAGGAAGAAATGTCAATATGAGAGCTATGAATGTACTGACAGAAGCTGAAGAGCGAGTAAGTCAATTTCCAGTAAATATTTGGACTTATTAGAACATGGTAGCATTCACAGTACTTTGTGGCCATATAATGAATTCTAGATATCAATCTTTTTTGTTTAATGTCCGAGGTATTTGTTTTTCTCTTTTCTTTTTCTTCCCTTTTCTTTTTTTCTTTTTTTGGTTTATCAATTTTTTAAATAATCTGTTGTACTTTATAGACTTACTTATTTAGCCAGTACTAGGGATGTATTTATTTAGGCAAAACTGGGGCCTTCGTAGTGAGCTACATCCCCAGACTTTTTTTTTTTAGACAGCATCTTGCTAAGTTGCCCAAGTTGCGCACAAACTTGAGATTCTCTTGCTTCAGCCTTCCAGAGTGCTTGGGTTACAAGTATGCACCACAATGCCCACCTTGTACCTTGAATGACATTTTTTATTGGCTTTTGCACTTTGCTATAAACTCGGTCTACCCTTTCCTTATTCATTACTGGTATCTTTCTTTTCTTTCTATCTGTAACGATGAGGGTGTCTTATTTTGCTAGACTGACCTCAAACCTGCAAACCTCCTGCATCAGCCTCTTGAGTAGTACTCTTTACTCATTTTTAATGTAAATAAAAATACTTCTGGATCCTGTCTGTCCTAGGTTTTGTCATTTCTTTTACTTGCTTGAAAAATAGGGTGTGCTGCTATCTGCCTCCTCACTAACTGCTCCATAACCGCTGTTTCCCTTTGACTCTAAAGCAGAGATTGTCAGCTACTAGTCTGTGGACTAGTATGTTTGTGGCCTGTTGGGAACTGGGCCGCACAGCAGCTGAGCAGTGACAGGCAAGGAAAAACTTCATCTGTATTTACAACCATGCCCCATTGCTCCCATTACCACCTGAGCTTCAACTACTGTCAGATGAGCAGTGGCATTAGATTCTCACCGTGAAATATGAGTGCAAAGGATCTGTATTGCTCGCTTTGAATCATCCCAAAACTACCACCACCACAATCCCCCTCCATGGAATAACTGGTCCCTGGTGCCAAAAAGGTTGGGGACCAGTGCTCTGTAGTATATTGAAACCATTGACTAAATTGTGAGTAAAACTACTGTTTCATTCTTGTGGTAGCATCTTCTGGGGCTTAATGCTCTCAATTACTTGATAATGTCATCTATCTCACCTATGCTGACAAAACTTACAGTCTAGGAAGAGATTTTCAGTGTCATCCACTGATGAACTTAGGAGATCCTGCCACTAGAAAAAACCATTAGGGGTAGCAGTCTGTTCTCTTGGGACCCCATAGCTAAAGACAATTGGTGATTTTTTATTAATGCCTCTGATACTTTAATTCTGCAAAATTCTGTTAAATTTGCGTAGTAGGATTAATGAGAGCTCTGCAAAACTGATAATACTCCTGAGCTCAGTTGCATTTAAGTAGTTTTCCTGTAATGGTTTTAAAAAAAAATCTTCCTGACATTAGTATGTGCAACTATAATGTTAAGTGAAATAAATCAGACTCACAAGCTTAAATATCTCATCTCTTATATTAATAAAGTGAAGAGCAAAATAAAAGATAATATGAAACATGTTTTGCAGAAGGGAAGGGGATCAAGATATGGAGAGAGGAAAGGAGAAGAGATTAAAAAAATAATTAAGATGTATTATATACATGTGCCAGCCTCTCACAATGAATGTAATCATTATGTGCTACAAATATACACTAATCAAAAAAATTGAAACAACTTAAAAAAGAATCTGTATTTTATTAGATGTCAAACAGCCAAGTAATTCACGTATTGTGATCTTCATAAAATACTCGTAGTGATTTTCTTTCTACCTTAAAGTTATGATAACAAGGATTTTTTTTTTAATTCATGAACTCTCTTTACCAGAAAAGAGGCTGTTTTATTGATCAGATACCTTTTTGTATAATTTTTTGTGTTTTTTTGTCTGTTCATTTAAGAAATTACATAGATTTATGTAAGAAATAAGATAAAAATGTGATGAGGTTTTTGTAGGTTGGCCATAAAGGAGAGACACCACAAGGAAGATAGGACTAACTGGAGTTATTTGAGAACGTTAAGGTACCTTGAAATGTGTGAGACTGTGAGGAGAAATGGATTAAGAAGAATTTAAAAAAGTTCCACCGCTGCTGATGATAAAACTATCCCACAAAGGAAGGCCCCTTTGAAGAGACGATGTTTTAGCTGAAACTTAAGTCACCAGTTATACAGATATAGAGAAAGAACATTCAGAAAAGAAAGAGCAACGCAGGGGATATAAGACAATAAATTCAAGGAGCTCAGAAAGGTCATACAACCAAGAAGGATTCTGATGTCATAAAATCAAATAAATAAGGGCCAACTTAGGAGATGTACATCATAGTGAAGAGTGGAAATTTTATTCATGTCACTGATGAAACTGACCTTAAGAGAACATTTGGAGCTATTTTTCCTTCAATTTATATATGACATATTTTCCTTGACTACCATGAATTTAAGCGATACTAGTATAGTCAAAACTTATTTGAGGTCTTTCCAGTAAATTCTCAATTCCAGTATAATCACACCTTGAATACTCAACTGCTTTGAAGTTCAAGGAATTTGGTACTCAATGCATTTTGACATGAAAATTTTGTCCCAGTACCTATCCTTTGTTTCATACTTGATGAGTAAGCTAGAATAATTCATTGATGTCAATTGCCTTGTAACTGGCTACCCTTTCCAACCAAAACAGTTTGTTTGGGACTTGTCATGCCTCCTAGAACCAATTAACAAAAACCAAATTGCCATTGTAGTTTAATTTTACTCTGCATATTAGGTATATTTACTTTCTTTGTAATTTGGTTTGCATTGTAACTCTTAGTGTATTGTATGTTTTCATTAAATAACGAGGCCTCTGTATTTCTGGCTGAATTCCAGGACATAGAGGAAATTTTATGTTTCTAAATAAAACATACTTTTTTATCTCACAGTATAATGACTTGATGAAGAAGAAGAGAATTGTAGAAAATGACAAATCCAAAATCCTTGCAACTATAGAAGACCTTGACCAGAAGAAAAACCAAGCCCTAAATATTGCTTGGCAAAAGGTATTTGAACCCCAGAATACTACCCCTTTAATTATGTAGGAAGTAAGGATGAATATGTGTTTGAATGAGGCATATACTCACATCTTAGTTAAAGATAGACCTCATAGACTTTTAAATGCATTTTCTCTTGGATTTATCTACTATTGGGTTGCAAATGTAAGTGTATATTACTCTGTCAGACTCATAGACTACTACTCTGGTTCTTAAGTTATATTAACTTTGTAATTTTCTCTATTTCTTACTCTTACCTGGTTTCACAGTGCTGTTTTACTTTTAAAGGGATTGCTGTTTATTGTCAGAAAGCCAAAAAATAACACATGCTGGAAAGTATGCAGAAAAAGGGAAACTCTCATACTGTTGGGGGGAAATGCAAATCAGTACAACCACTATGGAGTGTACAGAAGTTCCTCACACTAGAAACAACTGCCGAACCATTAATTCTATGCTGGATACATATCCAAAAGAAATGAAAGCCATTTGTTGAAGAAATACCAGCACTCACGTGCTTACTGCGGCACAATTTACAACAGCCAAAACATGAAATTTCATCTGTGTGTCTTCTGACAGATATAGGGATACAGAAAATGCAGTATACATATACAATGAAACATTATTCAGCTATATAAAGGGAATGAAATACCGTAATTATTATCAATCTGTACAAACTAAAGGTTACTATGTTAAGTGAAATAAATCAAGCATAAAAAGATAAATACTGCTTAGCTTCACTTTTATTTGAAAGCTCAAGCTAAAACATTCAGAGAATAGTTGTCACCAGAATCTAGGAAAGGTGTAGATATGGGAGATGGAGAGAGCAGAGTTAATAGGTACAGAGGTGCAGAGGTACAGCTGGACAGTAGGAATAAATTCTAATGTTCTATAGCTTAGTAGGAATCTCCTACTAAGGTTGAGAACAATTTCAGAATAGCCAGTAGAGAGGATTTTGATGCCAGTTACCCTGGTCTGATCATATGCATAGTGCACGTGTTCTGAAATGTTAGTGTACCCCATTAATATGTACAATTACCATGTGTCAATTAAAAATGAAAAATATATTTTAAATAATCTTGCTATAAAATATTCTGAGAAGTAATATTTGACTCCTTAAGTCTGGGCAAGTAAAACTGAAGATAGTGGAAATAAATGAGTCCTTGGAAGAAGGTTTCTGATTTCCAGTAGTTAGAGCTGCCACACAAAACTGTCTGCCTTCCAGCTTCAAGCAGAGGCCCACTGGAGACATTAAACAGGATCTAAAGTTTCTTCCAAATACAAAAGCCTATGATCTAAATTGTTTTTGTCCTTTTAAGTTGCTTGAGTGCTTGTGTGTTCTGGATGTTTTTCTTGTCAGATGAATAGTCCACAGATGTTTTCTCCTATTCTGTAAATTGCCTCTTCACTCTGTTGATTGTCTTCTGTGCTGTGCAGAAGCTATTTAGTTTGCTGTAATCCCCCTGTGTCGGTTTTTGCTTTTGTTACCTGTGTTTTTGAGGTCATATCCAAAAAGTACCTGCCCAGACCAATGTCCTAAGTCATCACCCATTTTTTTCTAGTAGTGTCATAGTTTCAGGTCTTAGGTGTAAATTTTTGATCCATTTTGAGTTGAGTTTTGTATATGGTAAGAGGTAGGGATCTAGTTTCTCCTGCATATAAATAACTAGTTTTTCCAGCATCATTTATTGAAGGGGCTGCTCTTTTTCCATTGTCTATTTTTGTCATCTTTGTTGAGAATCAGACGTAGTTATGTGGGTTTATTTCTGGGGTCTATATCTTATCTCACTGGTCTATGTATTTTTCTTTTATGCCAGTACTGTTCTGTTTTGATTATAGCTTTGTAATGGGTTTGAAAGTCACATATTATAATATGTCCAACTTTGTTTTTTTTGCTCAGGATAGCTTTGGCTATACAAGTTTCTTTTTTGGTTTTGTTTTGTTTTTAATTTATCAATACTTGATTTGTGGCTTAACATATGAACTATCCTGGAACATATTCCATGTATCGATGAGAAGAAAAATCTCTTTTGCTGCTGTTGGATGAAATACTCTGTAACAGACTGTAGGTCAATTTGCCCTGTAGTATGGTTCAACTCAGATGTCTGTTGATTTTCTGTCTGGATGATCTGTGGTCCTGTGTTGGGTGTGTATGTATTTGTATTGTTATATCTTCTTGTTAAATTGATCCTCTTGTCAAGATACAATGACCTTTGCTTCTTTTACAGTTTTTGATGTAAAATCAACTTCCTCTGATAAGAGTATAGCTACTTCTGCTTGTCCTTGGTTTCTATTTGCATTAAGCACCTTTAACCAACAGGTTACTTTTATTCGGTTTCTTTACCAGTGCAGTGAATTTCTTATAGACAGCATGTATTTGGGTCTTGAAGATTTTAATTAGTCCACATCTTTTGATTGGTAATTTAATCTATTTTCATTCAAGATTGCTATTGATCAGTGTGAATGTCCTCTTGTAATTTTATTAATTCTACTTGGTTTTGTATATTTTTGTTACTTTCCATGTCTTTTATTATTTGTTTTATTTCTTGTTTTCTGTCACACTAAGAATTCTTTTCTCATTCTCTTTTTTTGTGTTTATTTTTCTAAGGAGTTTTGTATTTGCATGTGTTTTCATAATAGTAGGTATCATCTCTTTTGTTCCCACTGTAGGACTCCCTTACGTATTTCTTATAGTGCTAGTGTGGTGGTGATGAATTCCTTCAGTTTCTCCTTATCTGGGAAAAACTATTTCCCCTTGAATTTTGAAGAATAATTTTTCTGGTGATAGTATTCTTGGTTTATGAAACTTTTTTTGAATTTTATGTCATACATTTGATATTTTAACATAACATTCTTTGGTGAAGGTCTGTCTTTGTTGAATCTGGCTGGAGTTCTTTGAGCTTCTGCAAATCAGGATAACCATATGTTTTTGAAGATCTGGGAAGTTCTTAGCTATTATTTTCTGAATACAAAAAAAAATCAACGTCACCCTAACCCTCTTCTTGTAAGCAGTACAGCAGTGTGGTGACCCTCAGCTTCCCAAACTGGGCTTATGGCTTCTCCATCGGCAAATTCTTCAAGTGTCCATGGTGTAAGTGGGGACCTCCCAGAGTCTCCTACTATACTTAGTAGTATACTTAGTATAGTATACTTAGACCTTCCAGCCAATTCCCTCTTTGCAGATGGGATGGTAGATGTGTGCTTGGTTCTCTCATTTTTTTTTTTTTTTTGGTATTTAAGTATTTATTGAGACAAATACAAATTAAAAACAAAATGGTGAATTTTATTTATAAGTGGGCCATCAGATACTGTTTTGCAGATCCAGGGTCCTACAGTGAGCTATAAGGAAATATGCACATATTTCACCCATACCAGCACAGGTTGTGAAGACTTTGGTCCCTTTGGTATTGGGGATGGGGAATGGCAAGAAATTGAACTACTACTTGTCAGGTTAGGGGAGTACTATTGTCTATGCATATTCTTTGAAACAGCGACAAATACAGAATCAAAACATGTATACTCCATCCTCTTTCAAAAGCTCTTTATTCCTCTGTAACCAATAATGTAGAAATTTTCAACTCCTTTCACTTTGCTAGACATACTAATTATCTTAAAACAATTATATGACTTCTCTAGTTATTGTATCTATTTTTTACATGAGGAAACCTAAGCTAAAAAAGCTAAAACAATCTGCCTCATCATATAGCTCAAAAGTGGAAGAACTGGAATTCTCTTTTGCTACATAGAACCAAAGTTAAAATTAACTCTTACTTCTAATTGTTTTCCCCCTGTTTAAGAACTGGAAAGTAAATAAGTTTAGTTTTCTCTTTTTATAGCACCTTTTTTCAACAAAAATGCCAATTACAATTTTTGGTTTTATGTTAACTTTGGCAAGACTTCAAGCTTCTCCATGGTTATTTCTACCTCTCTGGCTTCGTATGATGTCTCTTTTAGAATCATTCCTTAGTCTTTCATGTGGGAGTTTTTCCATTTCTACCACAATAAAAGATTTTTATTCAAAAGATTCCAAACGAAGCTATTTTGCATTTTGGCACTTTAGCAGACTTGTGTTTTCAGTGACCCAATTGGGTAGCTTGCCTCTTTTTCTCTGTTTAATTCTGTAAGAACGTTTTTTTAAGTAATGGTAGCACAATTATTTTTAGTAACTTTATTTTCCCTACTCTAAGATTTATTTTCTGTGTTATCACATCTAATAGTATGTGTCTTTTTTCAAAGGCATGCAAAAATTGATGGCTTTATTTTTGTACAACATAGAATTAATACTGTAGAAGGATTTGTCTCTGTCTCCATTACCATCCCCTGGTTCCCAGATTTAAAATAAATTACAATCTACTCTTTAAACTGATTCTGCTCTTTTTTCCAATTCTCCAGTTTCTTGTAAAACAACCTTTAGTGAGTCCTTGTACCAGTCTGTGTTCTCTAATTTTCTTAATCCTTAGGATAACCTAAAGTATATACATACTACTTTCATCAACATTATTTACATCTTTCTGATTTTAAGCATACTTTATTTACAAAGCCCCAGGATATTTTAGGTATTATTTTTGGGTTTTTTTCCTTCTTAGCTTTAGCGGATTTACAAAATTGTATTTAATCATTGTATCAGTGCAATGTGGATATAAATGTGCATAAATATATAGTGGTATTCTTTTTTTTTTTGGTACCAGGGATCGAACTTGGATCCTTGCGCTTGAGCAACAGGCCACTAAACCACGTAGTGGTATTCTTATTAATAATTTTGTTTCTTCTTTGGAGCGATTTACACATGGCATCCATGGTTGTTGTTTAGTGGTGTTCTACTCTCAGCTGTGAGTTGCCTGCCTCCCATCTGGCCAAAAGGTGAAAAGAAAATGAACCTAGGATGTTTATAAACACTATGCTACCTTTGATCATTCCCCAAAAGACAGTAATTCCTTTATCATTTTAGATGAGCCTTTCCAAGTTCTGGAAATCTGTCAGGACAAAAAAAAAACTAGGCCCTGCTTCCACTGTGTAGGATATTATTCAGCAGGTTAGTAATTGGTTTTAAAATGTAGATTCTTTAACAAGTCTTTATTCAGGAGCACTGCTTTTCTGTAGATTTCCTCAGTATATTTACATTTTAATTTTCCATGCCTCCACTTGATTATGGAGATTTCTGTTCAAATCTGGAAAGAAGTGTGTGTGTATGTGTGTGTGTGTTTGTGTGTGTTCGTGTTCGCACTCAGGTGGAAGAGCAGTGGTATCCACTTTCAAATATGCCTACTGGGCTGGGGATTTAGCTCAGTGGTTTGGGCACCTGCCTTGCAAGCGCAAGGTCCCAAGTTCGATCCCCAGTACCAGAAAAGAACAAAAACAAAATCAAATATGCCTACTGAACCCTTCAGTTGCTAGTCACGTCTTTCAAGACAAATAGCCAAATTTTCAAACTGTTGACTGGATGCATATGCACAAAATTACCCTATTACTACAAAGTAGAATTTTGCCCCTAAATTCCTGTGCAGTCTTATTCTATGGTGAAATAGTGGCAGGGACAGGCCAAATAGCTTCCTTAGCCTTTTTCTCCTGGGATCCAATATTCTTGACCCTCAATAGTAACCTCTTTTACGATAAATAAGGAGTATAGAACTCTTTTAACACCTTGAACAGATCTGGCTGTTTGATGCATGCCTCTTTTTCTTCTGAACCTCGTTTTGATCTACTTAGGAATTTAACTAGTGAACACAGCCCCATCTTACTCTATTAGCCAACAGAAAAACAAATTATCACATAGTACTTTGCCAAAAAGAGAGTTTGCTTCTCCAACAGTTTTCTCCTCCTATGTGTTATAATTGTTTTTCTTGAGGATTCCTGCAGTATGTTCCACAAAAGCATCAAAACTTCTGGGTAGAAATATAAGTATAACCTCTTGTTGCCCCTTAAAGGTACAGCAGGGCTCAGTAAACTATTTTGATATAGGGCCAGAGAATAAGTAATTCTTAGTGAGACTTGCAGTTCCTGTTTTGGCAATAGCATCCATAGAAAGATTGTAAATAACTGGGCATGGCCAGATTTGTCATATAGGCTGTAGTTTGCCAACTCTTGATTGGAAATAACAGACAACACATTGGACCTGCCGAGTTGCATGTGTATACACCAATAATTGATTCTTAAAAACATTCCTATGTTTTAATGTGATTTTTATACAGGTGAACAAAGATTTTGGGTCTATTTTTTCTACTCTTTTGCCTGGTGCCAATGCTATGCTTGCACCACCAGAAGGGCAAACTGTTTTGGATGGTCTGGAGTTCAAAGTTGCCTTGGGAAACACCTGGAAAGAAAATCTAACTGAGCTTAGTGGTGGTCAGAGGTAAGTAATTCCTTTGCAGTAGTATTAATCCTCATTCCTGTTATAATTCATTGTGTTCCACTTGTTTCACTTTTGATTTGCTTAGCCACCTTTTATGTACCATTTATACAGCCTAATATATAAGTAAGAATTTAGTTGGAACATTTTGATCAAGTTAGTGAACAATAAAAGAGAAGCAGAATAATTAACTACAAAACTAGACAAAATATTTGACAAAATATATGAAAAACAACTTTATCAACATTGGAAATAACGGAGTAGTTCAGGACTGTGATACCTGAAAAAGGCAACAAGTGCTGAGCCCTGTCTTTATGGCAGCTTTATCTCTAATGGCAGTTTCTGGTCATCGGAAGCAGGAAGGGCAACCCAAATAAAGCTTGCAGTATCACTAAGTTACGGAGACATTGGTTAGAAATTTGGGAAGCCCTAGAGAACTATACCTTAGCATTAGGTCTGTACTTTCTGTGAACAAATGTCTACTTCAGAAATACTAGACCTTGAAGGAATCAGGCCGCATATTATTGTTTATCAGAACAAATCCTAGTATTATGTTGTGTTTTGTTTTGTTTTTGCAGTAGTAAAGATTGAACCCAGGGTCTCATACATGCTAGGATGCTAAGTGAATATTCTACTACTGAGCTATATGCCTAGCCCATTTTAAATTTTATTTTGAGACAGGTTCTAAGTTGCTCAGTCTGGCCTTGAGCTTACAGTCTTCCTGCCATAGCCTTCTGAGTATCTGGTATTGGAGGTATGTGGCCAGGTGCCCAGGGGTCTTTTACGGAGAACAACATAATTGAGACACTAAACTACATAATAACCACAACATCTAATAAAAATTGCAAGATTAAAACCAGCATGCTAACATAGGCAAAAATCAGTTAGAATAACTTTTCAGTAGTCTTCCCACACACAGAAATACTTCAGAATTAGAGAACTAGAAACTGATAAGTAGAATTTATAAAAATAAAAAGATATTTGACACTATAAAAGAAAGATGAGTAAACTTGAAGACATGGCAGTAGATTCTATTCAAGATAAATTAAGAAACAAAAATCGGGAAAAGAGTATAAGAACAAAATCAGTTTTAGTAAAAAAAAAAAATCAGTTTTAGTGTCTTGTGGCAAGCTACTTGACATGTATGTAATTGATATTCCAAACAGAGGAAAAAAGAGAAAATACTTTTAAGAACTAATGGCCCCAACATGTCCAGATTTGATAAATTCTTTAAAGCTGTAGACTTGAGTTCTATGAACTCCTGGCAGGATAAACATAAACACATACATACAATAAGACTGCAGGGCATATATAAAATTGCCAAAAGCCAGTTATTCAAAGAAAAAATTAAAAACAGTCAACAGAAAAGAAATATGTGCCAAAGAATATAGATGACTTTATACTTCTTACCTAAAACTACATAAGCTAGAAATTTGAAACAAAGTATTAAAAACAAAAATGTTAACTGAAAATTCTATATTTAACAGAAACATTCATTTTGAAAGCAGTGTACTTTTTCAGGCAATTAAAAGGTAAAATAGCCATGCACAGTAGCACAAACCTGTATGTAGTCTCAGCTACTTGGGAGGCTGAGGCAGGAAGATTTGCAAGTTCAGAACTACCCTGGGGCATTCAGTGACCTTGACTCAAAATAAAAAGAGCTGAGAATATAGCTCAGTGGTAGAGTGTCTGGCCTGCATGAGATCTTGGTTTCGATCCCTAATATGCCCACACACATACATAGATACATAGCTGAAAGAATTTCATCTAACATTTGTTGGTTAAAGGACGTTCTTGGACAAAAGGAAATAATAATATCAAATGAAACTTCCATCTCCATAAAGGTATGAAGTGTTAGAAAAAGCACAGGTGTGGGTTTTGGGAAATTTCTGAAATTTATGCAGTGATTCAGATCAACATACTGATAGAAAAATAAAAGGTCTTCTGGCCTAACTCCTTGTCAGCAGACAGCCAAATAAAACTTCCAGGGTAAAATTGTGACTATTCTCATAATTGAAATTAGTTCTTAGTTCAGTGTGTGTTTTTAATTCTTCAAAGTACACATTTTATAGTCTTTGAGTTATTTTCATAAGACCTGTAAAACCATGTTATTTTATGTTCGTAGAAAATTTGAGATGAATTTTTTTATTAAGTTTATTGGTACATTTTAGGTTTACATTATGATCCAATTCATCATTGGGAATTTGTACCTGTACATGATATATCTTGGTTCTTATTTTTTCCCATTCCCCTTCCTTCCCTTCAGCCCCTCCACCACACCCTATTTCCAAAAGCTTTGTTTCTGTTTTTTCCTTCTTTTCTCACCCCTCCATTTCCCTTCCCCTTTGAACATTTTCTTCCTATTTCACAATATCTGTTATACAATTTGGTCCTTATTGACACTTTCAGTTTCTCACACCAAGGAAACAATTCAGTATTTACACATGTGTGTCATTTATTTCACTTAACGGTATGGTCTCAAGGTATATCCATTTAGCTATAAATATCTCTAGTTTATCTTTCTTTATGGCTGAGTGGTGCTCACATTTATAAAAGAACCACATAGGGGCCGGGGATTTAGCTCAGTGGTTCCAGTGCCTGCTGTGCAAACGCAAGGTCCTGAGTTCGATCCCCGGCACTGAAAAATTTAAAAAAAGAACCACAACTTCTTTATCCAGTCACCAGTTGATGGGCATTTTGGCTATTTCCAAGATTTAGCTATTATAAATTGTGACGCTATAAATATGGGTTCACATATATCACTGTGGTATGATTCTTCTAATTCTTTTGGGAAGATACTCTAGAAGAGGAATAGCTGGGTCAAATGGAACCTCTAGTTTTAGTTTTTTTGAGAAATCTCCACCCTGATTTCCACAGTGGTTGCACCAGTCTGCACTCCCATCAACAGTGAAGAAGGGTTCCTTTTTCCCCACAACCCCACCAACATTTGTTATTGGTTGATTTCTTGATAGCAGCCATTCTTTCTGGAGATGGAATCTCAGCATTGTTTTCATTTGCAGCTCTCGAATGACCAGTGATGTTGAACATTTTTTCGTATGTTTATTTACTGTTTCTAGTTCTTTCCTTAGAAATACCTGTTCATTTCAGATGCCCATTTTTGGACTGAGTCTTTAAATTTGGTCTGGGCCTAATTTTTTTTTTGAGTTCTTTGTCTATTCTAGATAGTAGTCCTTTAAGGAACAACTGGTAAAAATTTTTTCCCACTTTGTGGGTTGTCTCTTCACTCTGTTTTTGGTTTCTCTTGCTGTGCAAAAGCTTTTTAATAAGATGAGGTTCCAGTTGTTGATTCATTGTGCTAGTTCCTGTGCAACTGAGGTTTTGTTTATAAAGTCTTTTCTTGCACCAGTGTCTTCAGGAGTTCTACCTAACCTGCCTTCTAGCAGGTTGAGTGTTTCTGTTTTAATATTTAAATCTTTAATCCACTTTGATTTTAGTTTATTGCACGGTGAAAGATATAGGTCTAGTTTTAATCTTTGGCAAGTTGAAGCCCAATTTTTCCAGCACCATTTATTAAAGAGGCTGTCTTTCCTCCTGTGAAAGTGTTTGGCTCCTTTGTCAAAGATGAAGTGGATGAGTATGTCTGGCATTGGTTCTGCATCTTCTAATCTGTTCCACTGGTCCTTGGGGGTGTGTTTTTTGCTAGTACCATGCTGTTTTTATCACAATAGCTTTGTAGTATAGTTTCAGGTTGGGGATTGTGATACCCCCTACCTTGCCTTTGTTGCCCAGAATTTTATTCTAGGTCTCTTCTGGTTTCAGATTATTTTAGGATTGCTCTAATTCTGTGAGATATGCTGTTGGAATTTTGAGTGGGATTGCATTAAATCTATAAAACAGTTTTGGAAGGATGGTTATTTTCATTATATTGATTCCTCCCACCCAAGAACAAGGGATATCTTTCCATTTTCTGATATCCTCCTTAATCTCTTTTTTCAGAGTGCTATAGTTTTCAAAGGAGAAGTCTTTTACTTCTTCGTTAGATTGATTCCTAGTTATGTCATTTTTTTCAGTGCTGTTGTGAAAGGAGCTGCTTCCTCAATTCCTCTTTCAGTGAGTCTGTTATTCTTGTAAAGGAAGGCTATTGACTTTTGAGTGTTGACCAGCTACTGTATTTAATTGGTTATTCAGTCTAGAAGCCTTTTGGTGGAGATTTTGGGGTCATCTATATAGAGTATCACGTCATCCACAAATAATGACACTTTGACTTAATAATTTAACTTAATAATGACGATTTAACTCTTTTCCTGTCTTTATTCCTTTTATTTCTTTCTCTTATCTGATCGCTGTGGCTAATGTTTCCAGAAATGTATTGAACAAGAGTGGTGATAGTGGACATCCTTGTCTTGTTCCTGATTTTAGCATGAAAGATTTCAGTTTTTACCTGTTTAGTATGATGTTGTCTGTTGGTTTTTCATTGGTGGTTTTTATCAGGTTGAGATAAAGACCATCTATCCCAATTTTCTGTAGGGTTTTTATCATGGATGGGTGTTGGACTTTGTCAAGATGCTTTTTCTGCATTTATTGAGATGATCATATGGTTTTTGTCCTTTACTCTGTTACTATAGTGTATTACATTTATTTATTTACATATGTTGAACCATCCCTGCACCGCTAGGATGAATTCCACTTAGTCATGGTGTATAATCTTCTTGATGATCTGCATTCCATGTGCCAGTATCTTATTGAGGATTTTTGCATCTATGTTCATTAGGGAGATTGGCCTGTAGTTCTCTTTTTTAGTTGGGTCCTTTTCTGCTTTTGGAATCAAGGTAATCCTTGCTTTCAGGAATGAATTTTGGGAGTATTGCTTCCCTTTCAGTTTCATTAAATAGTTTGAGAAGTAGCATTAGAGACCTGTTAATTTCAATATGAACTCCCTGTCATATTTGTGAGTAGAAATACATTTTTACTTATTTTTTTCATGATTCATAAAATGTCTAAATATTTTAAAAGTCTAAATTCTGTAATGTATGTCCCATTATTTTTAACTGTTTTTGCCAAAGTCCTAGAATATGTTTTTAGGTTTAGTTTAAAGTTCATTGTTTTTGCCAGGGATTTAGATCAGTGGTTCTGCCACCTGCCTCGCCAAGCACAAGGTCTTGAGTTTGAACCCAAAAAAACCCCAAAGAACCCCCCCCCAAAAAAACAAAAAAAAGTTCAATGTTTTGACACAGACAAAGCCAATAAAAATAATATTAATGACTTAACCTCAGCTCCTCTCTATAGTGGTGAATATCAGTTTTACTATGCTTCAGTTTTTATTATACTGTCATTAATTTCCTCCTTTCCTTAGAAATCTTGGTTTTCCCTCTATTTCTGCACATACTTCCCCACCCCCAACTAATTTTTGTTTTTTAATCAATACCCTATTAGAATGCATTAAACATTGAACTAACCATTCTAATACTGCATAACAGAAGGTATTTGAAGCAATAGAATAAGAATGTTACAAATGTTGTAATTTTTATTCGGATAATAGATAATTAAGTATTTTGTCTTAAAGTAGAGGCTTTGTACAAAATAATGTTGCTGTGAAAGAATTTTAAATAAGTATTATAATTTCTTCATACAAGATTAAACAGATTCTTCATACCAGATTAATTTTTGGTTATGATTCTTCATGCCAGATTAGAAATGTAGTTAAAAGGGAAAGTGAGCTAGAAGAGAACTTAAAAATAGAGCTGTAGAATTTGGGAATAGGTATAACTACCAATTTTATGTAAGGATTGTTTCAATTTCTGATGCTGTGAAGCACGGAAAGTAATAGGCTATAATCTAAAAAAGTTACTTAACCGAAGCCAAAGTAAAAATATGTAGTGTGTAGTCTGTTCATGAATGAATTTGTACTATATATCATAATAGGATTGGATATGAACTTCGGTATTTTTTTTAAAAATCAAAAAATGTTTATCGTTTTCTTCCACCAACCTTTCCTAGGTCCTTAGTGGCTTTGTCATTAATATTGTCCATGCTCCTCTTCAAACCTGCTCCAATTTATATCTTGGATGAGGTAGATGCAGCCTTGGATCTTTCTCATACCCAAAATATTGGACAGATGTTGCGAACTCATTTCACACATTCTCAGGTAAGAACTGTTAAAAAAAAAAAAAAAAAAGCAATAGACTTTTACCAGTGTGTTTTTCTAAACTATTTTTGACCAGTAGTCAGTGTTAGTGAGATACTTAGATTAGACTGGGGGTCCAGCTAAGTGGTTTAAGGGTTACCTAACCAGCACAAGGCTCTGGCTTCATTCCCCAGCATGGCAAAAAAGAAAAAGATATTTTGGATTGAAGAATACTGAAGTATTATTTATTTATTTAGGTAGACTATGTTCAAATGGTTATAGGAGGAAAAAGGGTTCCATCTTCTTTTAAAAACCATCAGACATTGAAATTGTAGCATGAGAGAGACTCCAATTTAGAATTGGTTTAGTGTAATTGTTTTCTCTGGCTGGTGGCCATAAGGCTACATAATAAAAGCAATTGTTTTAGTGGTATATTTTCAGATATCAGAAAATTATATGTACTCAATGGGGGAACTTTTATTTCTCCTGGCTAAAAGGTAAAGAAAAGCCTCTTGAGGCTAAGAACCATTGGTTTTAGTGTACTATTGCTGTTGAGGCAGTCACTATCAAATATGGCTGCATAAATTATGCATTGTATAATTCCAAATTTGCACTCCCCATAGTTATCATACATTGCATTCTCTTATTTCACAATTTTGGCAGATGACCTTAAAGTGGTATCTTAATTATATAAAGATTCCATTTGGGCTAGCTAGGGATAGTTGTTGGTAATTTCATTTGGTATTGCTAGCGTAAAGAAAAATATTTCACTTCAGGCAATTAGAGCTAGTAGAAAAACAGTGAATGCCAACTACGCAAGATAGCAACAAGCATTCAACCACCAAGAAATAGTGAACTTGGGTGACCAAACACACAGGGTAAAAGTAGGAGACTTTAAAACCAAATATGGAAATCTATTTTGGTGTCTAATACTCTAACTGCTTGCTATTCACATTTGCATATGTGCATTTTCTTGAGTAGGATATTTAAAGAAGAATGATATCCAAAGAATTTATAGCCCAATAAAAAGGAGTGAGTACTTCAAGAATATTACAAAAAATTGTTTTTATGCTTTTTTTCTTTTTTCCTTAAGTTCATTGTGGTATCCCTAAAAGAAGGTATGTTCAACAATGCAAATGTTCTTTTCAAAACCAAGTTTGTGGATGGAGTTTCAACAGTGACGCGATTCACTCAAAGTCAGAATGGAAGGATTCCAAAGGAAACAAAATCCAAGGCAAAATGACCCAAATGAGCACATGGTGAAAGTTTTAAAGTACAAACTTATTCCTGTACCTTAACCTTTTTTTTTAAACATAATCTTTCAAGAACGTGGAATCTAATTTGTTTATATAATAATAGTTATTCTATTACCAAACTAGTATTTTCTCTTCCTTTGTATTATCTCTTGAAAATGAACATAGATTGTTCTCTATTAATTAGTATAACTGTGGTCCAGTTACTGTGGTTGTGGTTTTATGTATATCATCAAAGTTTTTTCTTATACAAATCTTTTATGTATTAGGGAGTCTGATATACCTGGTTGGTGGTATATATAGAAGAAAAAATGCAAAGAAACAGATGAAATTAAAATATAGGATAAATGTAGCTGACAGTCAGCTTTTAATTAGTTTAATTCTTAAAGCAAGATTATGTGTTTTCTATTGCTAATAAAATAATTTAGTTAAGGAAGAATTATAAAGCAAGTAGATGAATGAACAAAGGGAACACAAAGCCAATATACATGTACTAAGGTATTGGAATTTAGTCCCTTGAGGACACAATGTCAGATTCTAAGATGGGAAAAGAACTTGAAAAGATTTCCCATTTTAATGTTGTTGGAATATCATGTTTCTAGATGCATAATAATTGGTCTCTGCTACCTTGATTTGTTTTGTAAAGCTCTATGAGTATTTTATAGAGGTTTTTGAAGAAGTATGTTGTGTGGTGCTCTCTGGGTTTATTTGAAGTCTCAGTATTTTTGAAGCTTTTTGTCAGCCTTTTCATAATCTAGTTAATAACCTGTCAGTGACTGAAAATGTAGGATCCAGACTAAATCAAAGTTTTTCTTGAGTCTAATAAGCATATAGATTGATCTATTAACAAAATTACTTGAAAGTTTGGTGATTATTACAACTATTTGTACATTCTGCTTTCCATTTCAAAGCAGTGCAGTTTCTTTAGAACTCTATAGGTGGAACTATCAAACACCGTAAGAATAGGATTTGTAGCTTTTGTTTTCTCTAGATACATCATTAAAATAATGTGTCTATAATCTGAATCCTAAAAGTTCTAATGTGATCTAATCTGATCTTTGATGTGTTATTTTAGCCCCATCTCCCTTCCTGATACTTGACTCTTAGTTCCTAAATGTTATTATCATCCTTTCTCTGATACATGCTCATACTTTTTGGCTCTAGGATTGACATTTCTCAGTCTTCATTTGCCATACCTGTTATGTAACACCTGAGTAATTGATATGAGACAGATTGGAATGTATTTAATCTAGAATTAGTTCTCTTTACTGTGAGAGGGAAGCTAGATACAGCAATAAATGCTAAGTTACAGGAAGGCCAATATCACAGATGGCAAACCTACAGAATTTTGTGCTTCCTTTCAAAAGTATTGCAGATTGTTCACCAAAACAGTTGTATGCATCTACATAATTACCAATAAAGTATAACGCACGAGTTTTATCACAGACTAATCAGTACTGTCAGTTAATTTCAATATTTCTGATCAAGCAGTTACAAAATGATACTCGCTATTGTAGCCAGCATTTTAAAAATAATTTTGAGCTTGAATATTTTGCCATACATAGTAATTTCTTTTTCTCTGCTTCAGATTTTCTCCTTGTATGCTTTCCTGATTTTTGTCTTTTATATAATCTTACTCTTTGATGAAAATTCTCAAACATGTATTAAAGTTTTGTGAGTAATCCTGTTTATTCTTTGGACGGAATATAGTAAGGGAAATAGGGACATTTATTTTACATATTAGTAATATGAATTAACCTCAGATGTTTTCTGCATTTATCAAATAGTGTTTTGATTTGTATGTATTTTCATATTTAATCCTTATAATAACCCAGTGAGGTGTAAGTACTGTTATCAGCATTATACAATTGAGGAAAGTGAATTGGTTCTGAAATCACAGAAGAAAGTTGCTCACAGTTAATGAGTGGCAGAGCCAAGATGGAAATCATGGCAGTTGTTCTTTAGAACTAGTGAATGTTCAGGTTGAATATCCTTTACCCAAATGTTTGGCATGAAAAGTGTTACAGAATTCACAGTTCTTCAGATATTAGCGTATTTACATAGATTTTACTAGTTTAGCATCCTTAATCCCCAAATCCAAATAGTATGAAATCTGAAACTTACTGCATCCTGACAGCCATTTAAAAAGTTTCAGATTTTAGATTTTCAGACTGAGGGTGTTCAACCTGAACTACCTTGCTCATGGTTTGAACATTTATATTTATAGTATAAGTTAAACTTAATAAATGACTATTATATGAGCAGCATGTAAAATATGTGTATATAATTTTCAAGAACCTCACATTTGAAGAAGAAAAGGTTTTTTTTGCTCTTTGGCATTTTAGACAAGCTAGTAGAAAATGCAAAGCAAAAACTTGGAAAATTGTCTTCTGATATGGTGGAGCAGTAAACATAAATTATAAATAAAATAATTATATGAGATCTCTGGATACTGAAAAAAAAGGAATGTGATCAAGAGATGAAATATGGAGAAAAGGAAAGACACAAACTAGGTTTAATGTTTTGTACCTTTGACCTAATTACTAACGATATGTCTTCTTGACTGGCGAACTAAAAGATAGGGTCTGAGATAAGCAGAGCTTCCAGAAAGTGCTGGAGAAATCTCAGAAGGGAGAGCAAATGAAGCAGTTCCTCAGATTTGTTATATTTGGTAGCCTAACGAATTACCTGACCCCTGAATTATGCAACCTCTGAATTATGCAAAGACAGGATATGCCAGAGATAAACCTGAATACTAGTTAAAATGATAAAAACAGATTTTAATCAGTAATAGTCTATATAAGAAGATTCCAGCCTGAACTGAACTCAGTATCAGTTTGTGTACAGGTGACTATTTTCAAGCCAGAATGAAGGAATAGGGAGGGAGGGTTGGGTGGAGAATAAGTCATGGAAATAAAAACCTAGAAAAAAAAGGAGAAGGGTAGGGGAGTGGTCCATATGAATCCATTTGAGTTTAACCAGCTCTTAGCCTTCCACTGAGACTAGGGCACAGGAGCTCAAATTTCTTTTAAGTTTTGGCTAGAACAAGCATTATTTTGGCAACATTGAGTTATCTCAGGCAGGTACTTTAAGGGGGCTCTATTTCAGTGGTCCCATAGCCAATCCTTGGTCAGAGATATTAAAAACATTTATAAGTAGTATATTTTAATCCAAATTCCTATTTCAAACAAATTGTCCACCACCACTTTAAACATACTTAGTCCTACCCTATGCTTGTATGTTTCTGTTGAGAGGGAAGAATTTAGCTTTAGAGAGAATACACATGACTGGAATTTACTGTATCTCACTGAAACATACCAAAACCATTATTAAACATGGCTTAAGTAAATCTTCAGAATTCTGCCCCCTCGTAATCCATGAGATTTTGTACAAACTGCTGGGTACAGCTGATTTCAAGGTAGAAAGAATCATTTGTAGATACCATGTCTCTGACTCTATTTTAACCACATTACAAAAGTTGTTAGGTTTTACAGTCAGCAGGATGTGTTCTGATGATATTTTTATATAAGAGAAAATCAGAGGCACTAAAGATGGCCAGAAACCATTCCACTGGGTAATCTTCACAGCTGATGATAAGCATTGGTATTTCTTAGAATGAATGTTTCAAATTATGTTGCATAGTGTTCCATGGATACGTTACCATGAGGTTGAGAGGAGCCAAGTGGCTTTGAGTTCCCTTGACTGTCAAGAGACATTTCTCTCTTCTGTTAAGTATTACAGTTTGTACAATAAATATTTCTGTAAATATAAAAAAGGTAAAACTACTTTAAATAGGTTGGTATAGTATTTAGCCCTACTATGCATCTGTATTTCTCCTATTTTACAGTGCCAAAAAACCAAAACAAACAAAAACGAGATTTTGGTTATCACTGCTCTTGTCAGAAAGTTGTGATAGGAATGCACAGGGATTCTGGCTTCCTGGTTTAGACGCAGTGATGGCGAACCTTTTAGACCTTTCAGTGGTACAAATAGCCTGCTGTGGCATGTGTGCCACTGGTTTAGAGTATGGTGCAGCATGTCCTAAAAATGATAGCTAAAAACAAACGGTAGCTATGAAAGTTAACTCAGATTTTTAATTCATTGTGCATCTATGTAAGTCCCATGAAGTGCCAGCTCTTTATCTGTAAAACTGTTAGCTGTTAGAGGAAATTGGGCCTGTATCCTTGCCCTGTTGATAGAGGTTAGGAAGGTATAGTAATAGGCTGTGCTTGGGGAAGAGAGGAACTGAAACAAATACAACATTATTGTAATTAATACATATTTTTTGAATGGATACTAGAGGGAATGCAAAAATGGCGGCTGCACACAAAGGTGGAGCTGTTTTACTGAAAAGACCATGAGGAAGCTTGATCTTGACAGATAGGTTATAGAATTTGCCTGGAGACTTGTGATGAGGTTAATGTTTGTGTGCTTGCATCATAGAACTGTCAGAGCTATATTCCAATTGTTGATTCATGCATTCATTGACCAGAAGGAGTTACTAGCTTTTCAGAACATACTGCTAAGTGGGACAACACTAAGATAAATGAAGTTGCTATCCTGAAAGAACTTAGAATCTATTTCAGGGATTTCTGACTTCACAAATCTGGAGATAGCCCACTTCTTAGCATGCAGATAGGTCTTGGAAAATACGTATTGAATGCATGAATTCTCTTTGCATTCCTGAAAAGTAACTTTATTTTTCCATTTGACTCAGTCCAACCTTGTAACATCATCAGTACAAAGCTTGTCACAACCCTTTTTTTTTTTTTTAAATCACTTAGTAGAAACTGATACAGTGGAATAGTAACATTTTATAGCGGGAGCATGTAAGGATTCTAAGACCACCTAAATAAGAGTCCATGTGGCCCATACTTGGCCCAGCCTTGGGTACAAAGAGTAGTATAAATGGTATTTTTCAACAAAAAATGATTTTGATAATAAAATGTGATAGTGCCAGTATGGAGAGATGATAGCACATTTTAAGCTCTAATACTATAAAAACATGCCAATTTTTCAGACATTTTATCCTTACATAAACCTAGCAACAGTCATTTAAAATGGTAGGAGTTACTCCAATTTTCTGTCATGCTACATCACAGGCTGATGAAATAACTTGCTCAGAATGACAGGCAAAAGAAGAAATTTTAATTAAATTGCATTATCATGACTCATGAGAATTTGAAATAAAGTTATTCCTTTTATTATAAAAACTAGAGCATCACCAAAGTCAGCTTTATTATAATTCATTTAAAAATCTGTAAGTTGTGCATTGAGCATATAGATGCTGTTGTATGTAAACTTGTGAAATACAAGTATTAAAACTTTTCTAGGAAGCAGTTTATTCTCGAGTAAAATTCTTAAAATTTAAGGGGTCATTTTAAGAAAAATCAAGAGATCTTTACACTTTTTGTAGAAATGCCAAACGATTGCATTTATTCATAAGTAGGTCAAATGAACTGTTTCTCCAACAGTACATTAGAGTCCTTGTTATTGTCAAAGAGTAGTATAATTTAATGCATGAGAAAAACTACAAGATAATTCAAAACCAACCAAGCAAAATTAATAAGGAAAATGTATTAATTACTTTTTTTAAGTTTCCTTAATGTCATGACCCTAATTTATCACAAGATTAATGACTTAGTAATACTCTTTATGAGCATCACAAAAACTCATTTCTAAATTCTTCAAATTTCAGCTTTTGGGTTTGAAGTTCTAATAAAGTAGAAGTAAACCTATTCTACCTTTTCTTTTGGTTATTAAAGCCAAAGTCCTTGGAAAAAATACATAATACACTGTCACAACCCTGATAAATAATAAAAAGAATATTTGGAAGGGAAATAACATGAAGAATGACCTATACAGTCCGGAGTTTCCCATTTTTGTTTTTCTCCTGTTTCTCCTAGGTTTTAGGGTATCCCAAATTAGCAAGTATACACAGGGAAAAAAAATGTCCTATCTTGGACATTCTCTCCTTTTCTGGCCATAAGTAGGTAGAATTTTTGTGCAGAAAATTCTAGGTTTTAAAAGAATTCTGTGAATCCATCCCTAAGCAAGACCCAGTCATGAAGCAGCACTTGCATGAAAGCAATGTGGTACCTAAAAAACTAACTTAAATAACTTGGAAAAGAAGTCCCTGTTCTCCAGAAATCATGGGAGAAATTCACATTTTTCTCTCACTGCTATGATTCTGATGTAGGCCCTGTTGGGAATTACAGTGACAACTCAGTTGTTGAACTCAATTTGTTCCAAATTTGTGTTCAGACACCAAAAAATTTGATAAATGAACATATTTTTCCCATAAGAAATAATGGGAAAATTTGGGGGTTCTGAGGCCCAAACATTACACAAGCACTATGTTATCTGGGCACTTAGACTGGAGCATCACCCCTTTGTGTCTGCACCAAGATGCAACCTACATGACTCACACAGAGCTGGTA